AGTGAGCCTACTTTTCGACCCTCCGGAGCCACAAATCAGAATTGGAAAAACACAGTGTTTCGCAACTTTCCTACCTTTTCGCGCATCTGCATCTTCTTTCTTCTGACTCTTTCTCTTCTACTCTTCTCTCTTCTAATCTTTCTCTTCTCTCTGCCTCTGCCCTGCTCTGCTTTTCATCTGTCCATATTGTCGGAAGTTTGACTTCTAAACTTCCTTCGATAACTACCTTAGTAACTAAGTGGTTGGAATGCAACCCTGGATAGCTCAAGGTTCAAGACCTGAGATCCATCTGTCTTTTTTGATCCAGTGGTATGTTTAAATTTGACGGGCAACAATAGATTTCTGGTTGGTGGCTTGGAACCATGGAATTTTATGACTTTCCATATATTGAGGATAAGAATCCCAACTGACGAACTCATATTTTTCAGAGGGATTGAAACCACCAACAATAGATTTGCAAGACAAGCTATTTGGTAAATTCCATTCCAGTGTCGAAGCCATGCGCAGATGGACAGCTTCTATGTTTCTTTTTTCGGCGTGGAGAAGCAAGAAACGGTACACTGCAATCGCACACTTAAAAAGGAATGATTTTTTGTGGAAAAATACATGGGACAAATCTGATTGCTGCTGGTGTCTTGAGCAGCGGGTTTTGAATCTGCAGCAACCTCCGCACAGCGGGGAGTACTCATTGGCCGAGGCGCATCGGCAAGGTGAGATGATGATGGAACCAATGCATGGCTCATGGAAGATCCACCTGACGAAGGGCGCCAGAATGGGCATTCCGTGGATTCCAGACTTCCACAGCAGGTGTGCCTCGAGTTTTTGCTGGATGATTGTGATAGATAAACTACAATGTGAGGCCCCCCAGTTATAAGTTGGTTTATAAGCCCCGGTAGCTATAGCTATTTGCGTACCATAAACCAAAGTTATTGGAGCTATAAACCTATTTAGCTATCTAGGGGGCCTCACATTGTACCAATCAAGTTTGATAAACGTCTATCACAAGTCAACCGCTTAAATCCACAATACCCCAAATGTATTCATCTGAAATCCCCCCGATTTTCCAGTTTCCACCAGCTGTCCATCATTTCCACCCGTTTTTCATAATTGTTATTTTGCCTTTTATTTTCCAGCAGTTTTTCCACATCTTTACCTTTGAACTCACCATTTTTATACCCTCAACTATTAAAGGTCTGGCAGAGGACCGGCCGGCAAAGGGTCTAGCATGGTATTGCGAGGCACATTAGACCCCTGCACCTGCCTCATTAGACCCCTTGACTTTCTTTGCATATCATTGTATATATGGCTATCATTTGTTTGATTATATTTGTATGTAGTTGCTGATTGTGTTGATTTTATTTGTATATTTGTTAGTGGCAGTGGCAGTGACTGTGAGTTCATTTCGCAAAAAATATCAATCATAAAATGTCAAGGACCTTGTTGAGCCATACGGGCCTTTAAACATTGGGAAAGGATAGTGTTACCAAAATGGAAGCGCAAAGCGCTCCCAAAAATATCATGGGACCCTGCCATAAAGTTTCAGAGGCCAGAATTTTCTCAAATTCTATGATACACTCACCGCAAATTGAAAAATATCAGGGAAAGTGGGTCTGAAATAATATTGCCCTTCAATCTCGAGAGAATTCCCCCAGGCCGCAAGCAAACCAAATTAGACCCCCGTAGTTTGGGAACCCCTCAAGGAACGCTTCAAATTTGATATCTATTCAGACAATGCAGAGTGCTCCCCGAAATGGAAGCCCATAGTGGCACCAAAACGAAGGAGCATAGTTGAAAATTAAATATGTGTTTTGCAACATGCTTGTCAAAAAGTCAAAAGTATTCAAATTTGAGCCCCACGAAGATATATAATTTTTGGCAGGGCCCAAAGTTGAAGATTAAATATGTTTAATACTCTATCAATTCCATTCATACATTGTATCTTGATAGTTCCAAATATGTCCAATGAGAACTCCATTTTAGACCAGGCAACTGGCCCCCGTACGAGCCTGGAGGGCTACATGTTCCGACCATGACGCTAGACCGTTTGGGCCTAAATCTGTCGCATCAGGGTCTCTAGGTAGTTGAGGGTACCCTCTGGTAATTGGACTATGGAAAATGACCATTTAGTTCGTGGATTTTACCATGAAAAATTGTGAATTTCCATAGTTATGTAAACGTTTACCAGAGGGTATATATATATACCCATTAAATCCTATGAATATCCTATTGAATCACTTTAAAATTCCATGAAATCATTTGAAATCCCATGATTTTACTATATAATCACAGAAATCACTATAAAATTCCATTCATATACCCATTATTTACCCATGATTAAAAATCCATTTCCCGGAAACTCCCAGCGTTGAGGACTGGAGCATCATCCGCGAGGCGCCAGTGAAGGTAGATGCACCGCCAGCGATGCCGCGGGTGCATCCCCGTGCCTCGGTGTTTCGAAATGGATCGAATAGAGAAACTATGAATTTTTGTTTCAACCCATTCTTAGTGGAAACGCATCTTCCAACTCCTGCCAGGGTCTATGTTAATTTGGTTGGTGCTTTGGAACATTGGTTCGCTAATCATGATTAATAATCACTGGCTTTGGAACATTTTTCTTTATAATGGGATTATATACCAATAATAGTTGGTGGTTTGGAATCATCAGGCATTGGGGGTTTGATGGTTTTTGGGCTAAAAAACTGGTTCAAACCATTGAAATCATCAACTGCTTGGTGGTTTCAAACATGTTTTTTTTCCCATCATATATTGGGAATGTCATCATCCCAACTGACGAACTCATATTTTTAGAGGGGTGGCTCACGCACCAACCAGTCAAAAACATTCAACAACCACCCTGGTTCAAAGGCCATGTTTCAGAAAATGCTGGTTTTAGTGAAATTTAAATGAGATTTTTAATATGATAGTGGGAGTTGATGTAGTTCTCTAGTTTTATACACAATATATGATGATTTTTGCTGAAATTGAATAGGACGATAGGACAGAGAATGAGATTCAACGAAGTCTTAATGACTGGTTGGTGGTTTCAAACATTTTTTCCATCATATATGGGGAGCAATCCTTCCCAACTGACGAACTCATATGTTTCAAGATGGATTTCCAATGGGATTTCAGGGATTGGACCGTTGTAAACACATGTTGTTGTTTTTTTTTGTTTAATATTTATAGTTACAAAAAAGGTATACTGGTTGATACTCTCAATAATATATATATAATATATATATATATAGAGAGAGAGAGATTCATGGTATTTATGGAATTCAATGGGTTTAGTTTTATCCTGATAGTCACAGAGTTATATATCAACCAGTTAGTAAGTGGAATGATCATCCAGTGTTTCTGCTAATGGTATTGGTCTATTTCACCTTCATAATGGTTTGTGACAATCCATGATAGTCCATACATATATATATATTACACATGATGATCATAATGATGATCATAATCCGTTGGAAAGCATTATAATCCACTATACTTACTCCCATCAATCCCATTCCCCGAATATAAATCCCCCTAAATGGTCCTAAATATGCGCATATCCCACACTAAACTACGTATGGCTTTGGGTAGTGTTTCATATTAAATGGGAATGGGATTGATGGGTTATTTCGCCTTAATTGAAGTTAATGGGATCTACTTGGCTAAGATGGTTGAAATAAGTGGGTGAACTTCAGCTGGAAAAATGTTGAACACATGGTGATACAACCAACCAGTATATTCAAAAATGGAGGGATACCCCAAACATTAATACTGGGATAGAATGGGCAAATAGTGTCAGAGTACCAGAAAATCAGGATTTAACATGATTTGACATCCGGAAAAATCAGGACATAATCGGATAGAATCTGTGGGATATAGCTTTGTGTTATTTCCAAGAAGCTTGGATGATGTAGCCATTTGAGCAGTGGTTGCAAGACACCTCTATTGGTTGATGACTATGATAGGGTTTCATCCAGTTTATCCTAGCCAACAGACGCCTGCACACGCTGATGATTAGAGGAAAGTGATGGAACATGAAATATTCCACCATCCTCCAAGACACACCAAACCAACAAGCTTCCCCTGTGTCGTTGGGTGCTGCAGTCCCAGCCATCCGAGTGACGCGACGAACTGAGGCTACGAATTGTGGATTGAGACTTCCAAGGAATCTGGCGGCAGAGGGCATAGGTGCTGATGGATGACCAAATTGACCAGTTGGGTATGGAGCGAATTTGAAAGCCTGAAAGCCTATCCAGTGGTGAATGGAGGAAGCGGTTTGAAGCTAGGGGTATCTATATTCCCTATGAAATGGGAAACCAGTTAGAGCTACGACTAGAGGTTCCCAACCTTATAATAGGAAAGCACCCCCAACTTTTTGTGGTTTCTGGTAGCAGCCGCCCATTTTTTTTGACGACACTTTTGACTTTTGACCTACAACCACTCATGATTGGTGCGATACCCAGTGGTAACTCGGGCAGTCTGCTTGGGAAATTGTTTTAGTGGAATAGACATGCTGGTGCCAGGGTCAATACTTAAACATACTTATACCCTTTGTGATTGGGATTGCCCATTATTAAAAACCATCTAGTTATTGCGGTGCTCTCATCTTAGGAAAGCTCCGTATTTAAGCATAATTTAACCATACTTTAAGAAAAACCATCAATATAATCTAAAAAAACCATCCTGGACATATATTCAAGAACAACCATAAATATACCGGTAAAATATATATCATAGACTCTTGAGTTTATAACCCATTCTTAGTGGAAACTCATCTTCCAACTCCTGCCAGGGTCTATGTTAATCTGGTTGGTGAAGTAGGATACACCACCCACCTGGTTCTTGATGGCAATCCTCAATTTTTCTGCATGCTTTGGAACATTGGTTTAGTATGGGGTAATGATGGTTAATGATGGTTAATCATGGTTAATCATTGTTAATCATGGTTAATAATCACTGGTTGGTCGTTTGGAACATGTTTAATTCTTCCATATCTTGGGAAGAATAATCCCAACTGACGAACTCCATGATTTTTCAGAGGGGTGGTTTTTAAAAACCACCAATCAGTAATGGTGATTGAATAGGAAATCATGGGATCTTTCAGAGTTTATTTGCTTAGTTGGTGCGTTTATAACTCCAATTTCACTAGGGTTTATCGGGGTTATATCTATCGCTAAAAAGGATTATCGAGTATATCTATATCTATGTTATATCAATGTTATTGGCATTGTAACCACTACCATTATATATATATAATCCCATTATTGATGATTATCTATGTTATCTATATTTTTGATACTTTCCATTGACTTTCATATTTTTCAACTGGAGGGTAATATTTCACCCACTTTTCGGTATCGTCCCTGCAGGAGCTGTCCAAGCTTGGGCGCTATCATTTCAGCTTCGACAACGAGGAGGCGATGCCGGGCACCGAATGGCTCCAGTGAGCAACGAACATGTCGAAAAACGAGTTGAAAGATGAGAGGTTTATGATGGTTTATTTGATGTTCATTGGATTTTCATAGATTTTATGGGTATATTTACGTCGACATATATTGTTTAAACTGGTTGGTGGTTTCAAACATGTTTTATTTTCCATAATATATGGGATATACCTTCCCATTGACTAATATTTTTCAGAGGGGTTGAAACCACCAACCAGTGTATACATATATATATACAGTATATATATATATATATTAAGGGTTCGAAATCATAAACTGCCATAGCATTGGTAGATTTGATTAATGTTCATTGGTTATTACAAGGGATTATGAAAATCTGACTGATTTCTGGGGGATGGGATTATGCTACATACGGATGGGATATCTATTGATCAACCAGTGGATGGGAAAACGGGGTATTTGTTACCCATATGCTCCATGTATTGAATATTTACCAACATTTACCACCAAAATGACCCACTTATGTAGCTAAATATTCCAGCAGCATGGTTCGCATATGGGTTAGTTTACCAAAGGATACCCTCTGGTAAATTAACATAACGAACTGGAAAAATCACCATTTTCAATGGGTAAATCTACAATTTCTATGGGTTATGGTTCTGGTTTTTGATGAATCACAGGAGCGTTCGGATTATCCCAGGGTGACTTGCTGCGGTTTGCCGCTGGCAATCCCAGATCCCCTTGACCAATCAGTCCTTTGGGACTGCGAGTCAATTTGACCGCATGGATGGATCCCATAGATGTCCTTTTCCCATTGGTTGGTTGATGAATAGAGGGGTTTGAAGAACCCCCTTTAACAATAGGTACATGATGATAGATGGTATACCAAACCGGCCCCTCTATTTTTACCAAAAGGACAGTATTGCTAGATCCCTTCCCAAGTTCACAGAAAAACACTGGAAACCATGGTAAAAAGTTGAGGGTGAAATCACATATTTTGGACCACACAATGGGGTGTGTTTCATACAAGCGGGGGATGAGATTCCTACAAAAATCTTGAACTCGATTGCCAAAGAATTGGGAAACGATCACAGAAACTGCAGACTTACCATGTAAACTAACGTAAATGTGGGTTCACCCACCATTTGTAGATCATTTTCCTAAAAAACCCATGGGTTTTCCACATCTATGTCAGCTTACCCTAGGGTACCACCAGTAGCGGGTTGAACCTTTAGGCGTCCCGCCGCGTGAAAAGGCCGTGCTGTCGATGAGCTGGGTCGAAACTGGCATGGGTTTGAAGGGATGCGGGTTTCCCCCCAGTGATGTTTGTTGCTTTGGAAACCATAGAAACCTGGTTGGTGGTTTGGAACATGAAATTTATTTTCCCCAATAGTTGGGATGATGATCCAATCTGTTAATATTTTTCAGCGGGGTTGAAACCACCAACCAGCAAATAGTTTGATATCTTCGTATATAGATATCTACCAAAAAATCGTTATTGGAGTTATAGACCAACATCGGCAATAAAAAAACATCCCATCCCTTCTCCTATGAATCATGGCATTTCGAAACCTTTCCAGACACGGCGGTAGATGTAGGGGACGGACCCTTTGGGTGATGATGCTTGCTTCGAACAAACCAAAAAAATCAGCAACCATGAGGTGGTAAGCCAACAGCTAAGAACATGTGTAGTTATATGTATAGTTACATGTAGCTACCCATCAACATACAGAGAATCGAGATGAAAATCTACGCGGGCCATGAAGGCAAACAAGCTGTTCATCCGTCCGGGTGTGAAGGCGAAACAACTTTGGGGAGACACTGGTTTTGTGGCTTAGAACATCACCGGATAGAATATATATATGTATATATATATGTATGTGTATATATATATATTATAAATATTATATATATATATGTATATATATTATATATATATATTATATATATATTATATATACATATATATATAGATGTAGACATATATCAGCCCATTCTGTCGATATTTATGTATTCCAACATGTGTTGGTTGTAAACACCTGTCCACCCACCTACTTGTTCTGGGTAAATGAAACTCCTTGTGAGTCCTCGTTATGGATTCCCAAATGACTTGACCATAAGCAGAGTGGTGCCCCTGAGTTATGTGTGTTTCTAACAACGAGATATGTACATATGAGGGGTTTATGGTGCCCTGTTTATTTATTTATGTTTGTCCATGTGCATCATAAAATATCTACCATAAACCCATTGGTAAAAAGCGTTCGTGAAGTAAACCCACTAAACGCGATTGCGAACTTGGGGTTCCCCACCTAAAGTAGGTGACATAATGGATATATTCACCCATATAATGCTATATCCCCCATTTTGTCCCCCCATTATCTATTCTAACGGCTACAGGCTATATATCATCCATCATAATACGGCTATAGAATGGTACGCCCCAGTTCTAATTTGGTTTACAAACACCATTACATACACATATATATATATACCATAAACCATAGTTAATTCAGTCACTTCTATCTCAACTGATCGCTGGGGAATCTTGCTGGAAAGATCCACTCGCCAGGTGAATCTTCCGGGCTTTCCGCTGAGCTTGGCCGTTGGAACTGGGGTGAACACTGGGGAGGCCGCCGGGTCGGCCAGTGGGATTCATGGGATGCTGAAGCATTATAGCGTATTTAAAAAAAAGTTTTATGGTAGAACTATGGTATAACTGTAACTATAACTATAACTATGGTATAAATATGTTAAATAACTATGGTATAGTTTATGGTGAATAACTATAACTATAACTATAACTATGGTTTATTGTAAATAACTCCAATAACTCCAAATAAGTCCAAGTTCACAACATGGTTTATGGTAGCGTTATAACTCTAGTTTTTATATGTGTTCATAGCTTGCTGAAGCGATTTCTTGGTAAATTCAGGTATTTGACCCATCAGACCTACAATGTGGAGCCCCCCCAGTTATGTGTGTTGATTTACAAAGCCCATGAAAACTGTAGTTATTTGCGTATCAGAAACCATAGTTACTGAAGTTATGAACCAACTTAGCTATCGACTGGGGGCCCCACATTGTAGCTATAGACCTTCAATTTTTACCGCGTCAAAAAACTAAATCGGAGACTGGGTAAGCCACACTCCAGGAGACGGTGGCTTGACGGCTATCGATGGCTCATAGAAATAGATGTTTTCAAAACCTGTTGCTGCTGGTTGTTTACATGGTGGCTTCCCAATTCGCAAACTGTGAACAATTATCAGAGAGTATACCAGCCGCATACAAGGTGGTAACTAGTTCGATGTATATATATATGTACATATATATATATATACATACAGCAACTTATATATATATATAGAGAATATATATATAATAGTATACATGCATATAGCTATATATCTACTTATTATATACGATGTTCGTATAATATAAGTATATGTATATATATATATATATCACCATAATTCTTGGAGTTATGTAGACAGCAACATCTCGCAAGCAGCCGCGCACATAAAGACGGCACCCCCGAAATTTAGAAAGTTCATTTCCATTCCGTTTTTCATCACCTTGGAAAACAACCCATGGAATCACCATGAAATCGCCACAGAAATACCATGACTGCTTGGTGCTTTCGAACATTTTGCATTTTTCCATAGATTGGGAATGTCATCATCCCAACTCACGAACTCATATTTTTCAGAGGGGTGGCTCAACCTTATGAAAATCTTTCAGCCTCTAGCAGGGACAGGTGATTTTAATTAGTTTATCATTGTTTCATTTCCTTTATCATTTTTCCCATCAAAATTATCATTGTATTTATAGTCACCAAATGTAGGCATTTCTGTTGGTCCAGGACTCTTGCCTACTGGTCTTCAAAGAAAATAAAGCATTAGTCTTATCAACTTAGCAGCTTAGCCTAGCAGCACCAAAGACTGCATGAGCTGATACTGAAATGGTTGAGATTGCATATCACTTGATTCATCTTGATTCAACTTTTGTTCTAACATTTGTAGATGGGTGAAATCGAACATGGGATATCAGAACACGCGAGGACATTCCTCGATTCCAGAGCTTCATGGATACTTTTCAGGGACAAGTTCACTCACCAGGGGCTGTGGGTGCTATGGAAAGCCTGACCACGCAGATCCAAATTCTGGAGGAAGAGGCTCACATCGCGAAGGTTCACATCATTGAGATTTTTTTGCTCAAGTCTGTGAAACAGGTTCTTGATGCACGCAATGGACAGTGTGAGGGTAATGCTAATGAACAAATCACTTCTGGACTTCAGAAGCAGCTCAATCAAATTGCAGGCAAGGTGCTTGGGGTGACTGAAACTGACGTTTGCCCATTGTTGATTCACTTTGCCCGGGAAATCTCCTCAACATGAGAGATTTGAGCAGCTCAATCGGGAACCACTTTTCAGAGTGTTTTGTCATCGGTCTGTGGTCTCTCTTGTGGTGCTGCCCTCCTGCTTTACTGTCAGATGATGTCAGCCTATTCTTATGATTACAGTAGGTGGACTGACCAACATCTTTACCATCATCAATCTTTCATTCATTATTCTGTTTCATTCTGGTTGCGCGTTTGTATGGACTAGTGTGGTAAGAGCCGAAGGCATCACCGATGACCATGCACAGGCACCGACCGAGAACTCAGTGGTTTCTCACTTTCAGATGTCAGACCCTCACTGTCCAAAGATCGCAAGCCGCGACACGCAGCTTGAAAATGCAAAGATATGAAATAAATGAATGAATGAATGAATTAATTAATTAATTAAATGAATCAATATATTGATATGTTTTAATAAATCTATTTTTGTAATGACACATATTATTGTTATATTATATATTTGCATATTTACAGTTAATGTATTTGTATAGTAGGAGTTGATGAAGTAGCAGAAGCAAGTATGCTTGATTACTGTATACTATGGTACAAATCACAGTTGAACTCAATGACTCAATAGCGCTTGTATCCTCTGATTTGGCCCAGCCTCAAATTAAATCACTAGAAGCAGTAATGAAAAAAGTGAAAACTCCAAAAAGAAGGAACAACATATGACAAAAAAATGTAAATATCTTTGATAAAAAATGAAAACCAAAATGAAAAATAAATAAACAATAATTAAATCATTGATTTCCAGGGTAAGGCTGGCAGAGATTAGCATAAGCTCAACCACCAACCAAATAATCAATGGATATAAATGTTATAATACCAGAAATATACCACTATTCACACACTAATCAGTGGGTATATTTATGGAGCATCATGGGTAAAAAATAACTGCCATTACCCTCTGGTAAACGTTTACATAGCTATTGAAAATGGCCCTAATCGAAATAGTTGATTTACCCATTAAAAATGGTGATTTTCCAGTTCGCTGTTAAATTACCAGAGGGTATATTCCATTAAGTGGATGAAAAAATCCCATTAAACCCCATTAAATCCCATTAAACCCCATTAAATCATGGGTTATATAACTGCCATTAACTAACATGAAATGATGAACATCCAAATCAGTGGGTTACCGCGCCTTGGAGGACCTCACCTGTCGTGGCCGCCTCATGCTCTTCACCATCAAGGACCGTGGTTTTTAAGCGGGGTGATTTCGGGGGGATGGATCGAGATCGAAAAAAACCTTGAAATCTGTATTTTGTTTGGTTCAAATACTTCAGATAAACCCCTGTTTTGACCCCTCTGAAAAGTATTATATAGTCAATGGGAAAACGGAAAATGGAGGTGTACCCTCTGGTAAACGTTTACAACAAGCTATTGAAAATGGTGATTTAGTTCGTGGATTTAGCCATATAAAACGGTGATTTTCCATAGCTATGTAAACGTTTACAAGAGGGTATCATCAATATAATGGAGATTCTCATAACCCACTGGGAACAAAATCAACTATTGGTTCAAATCACTCAAGAAATAAGGATTTTGCATGGTTGAAACATGTAGAAAGCTTCATGTTTAGCATTCCATCACCTAGCTCACCAGGTCTGAGACAAACTGGTGAGCTCACTATTACGCAATAGTCGTTAGTGTCCTGGAATGGTTTGTATGAGCCATATTTCTTTTTTGAATACCAACAATCTTGTTGGATAATCTCACTCATAACGAACTCAAACGACAACCAACTCACTCTGTAACTTAATGTTCAAATTAAAGAATGCAAATCGGCGATTCCAATACCTCAGATGCATCGTTTCTGGTGTCCAAACACTTAATTTTGGTTGTTTTGGTTGTTTTATTTATTCTTGCAAATGTTTTTGAACTATTTCATTGTTTAGCACCGCTGAATTCTTTGGTTTAGTCTTTTTTTGTTTTAATATCGTTGGTTATAGTTTATGTTGCTGGACATGCTCCTTGATATTCATCACGAGTCCACTTCGTCCTGTTTGCGTCGTATATCACCTTTTTTTAATATGTGCATATCAATATCTGAAAAGACGGAGTTCATGATATCGTGAGCAGAAGTTGTGTGCATCCGAGTGTTGGTCAATAATATTTAACTTGTTTATTTGTTTGAAATTTCACATTCCCTGTTGTTCAACTATTGTTCAGTTATTAGCATCTGGTTATTTAACATAGCCATGGAAAATCACCATTCTTAATAGGTAAACCATCTATTTCAATGGGCCATCTATACCAATGTTAAATGACCAGAGGGTAGCTCAAATGACAAACATCAAACAAATTATCACGGAAAAGAACATATTTTCTATGCTCCTACTTAGTTCACTGTACTACTATTAGTGGGGCCCCCAGTCGATAGCTAAGGTGGTTCATGTTCATAACTTCAGTAACTATATGGTTTCTGATACGCAAATAACTAGAGTTTTCATGGGCTTTGTAAATGAACAGGTTAATAACTGGGGGGGGGACTCCACATTAATAAACTATAATCCATTATAAACTATAGTTTTGGAGTTATGTACCATAAACCATAGTTATATATTACCACATTGTAAGTTTGGCACAGTGGCACAGTTTCCCTTCCGTCCAATCTCAGGACAAAGAACCTGGGATTCTGCCGCCAGTGTATCAGAGGTCAGGTTTTGAAAGACGCCGAGTCACTGGGATTTTCCTGTAGAGTTCATGATGGATATGTTAAATCAGTGATTTAATTGGGATTAATGGGGTTTAATGGGATTATAATCCACTTAATGGAATATACCCTCTGGTAATTTGTTACATGGCTATTGAAGCCATGGACCCAATCGAAATAGTGGATTTATCCACTGAAAATGGTGATTTCCCAGTTCGTTATGTAAACGTTTACCAGAGGGTATCCATCTATTATAGGAAAACAGATCTATGATTTATGGTACTCCCTCCAGCTCCAAAGACCGAGACTGAGACTGTATTTGGAGTTGTTTAACTTGGGGTCTAAAGACCTTCTCAGAGGGTATTTGGAGCTATAGGGACTATTAGTTGATTTCAATAGTACAACTATTGGTTATCAGTGTCAATATTACCCTCTGGTTATTTAACAGTTCGCCATGGAAGCAAAATGGCCCATAGAAATAGAGGCTTAGCGTTCTTAAAAATGGTGGATCTTTCCATGGCTATGTCAAATAACCAAATGGTATTAGTCTATTCTGTGATGTTCTATTGATATCTACAGGTTGATACATCTATAGTCAATAGATGTCAATAGGGTTTACTATGAATAGGGCTAATGGATTGACATAGTCATTGGACTTAAATCTGCTTAGCCAGTAACAAGTATGATCTATGTTGGCTTCTTTCACCAGGCTTCACTAGGAGTTAATGGTAGAGATATCCATAGTTGATGGGGCTGGTGTTAGGTTACATCTAGTAAAGGTGTGATATATCTATAGTTTTGCACAGCTCCGGACATTTGCCCATGCCCGTTTGCCAACAGGTCCCAGGGCTATTGGCTGATTTTCATTCAGAGGTCATGTAAACCCTAGGATGGAAATGGTTAAGTTAATTGTTCCATGAGGTTTGGGAGAGATGTTTCCTTATAAATCCTATTAGCCATATCGGTACTTGTTCCTTTTGGGGGATGGGGGATGATTTTGGATGTTCCCAACGGTAAATGCTAGGGCGAAAAAACTGGATCTGTGGGGATGGTCAAAAAATGTGGTGCCCCAGAGTTTTGAAAACCTTGCTTTGTGTAAAAACACATCTAAATATAGATATAACATGATATAACATGATATAACTTATGATACAACACGATAAAACCCTAAGAAATTCTCGACAAATCACTTACTATAGATATATCTTCAACAATTCCTAGATAGTTCACTTATTTGCACCAACTTAAGCTCTCTAGGGGGGCACCTGTATTGATGACATCCCTATCATCAACAGCTTTAGCTTGTGGTCAATGCAAACCAAGATGGGTCACACGGCGCTCATGACAATCTGAAAGATTGGCGTGGGAACCCTGGAACGGTATCAATGAATGGCGTTGGAGGAAGCACCTCATCGATTGGCGATCGGCTCAGCAGTGCATCGTTCCCATGAAATCCTTCCGTTGGTTTCCAACGTTGCGGAATTTGACATCCTGGGTTGTCGTGGTTGAACGTTGCAGGTACGTTTCAGATCAAAAAGGTCGGAATTTACAATGCTGGCGCCCTGGCGCCCTGGCGAACGCTGGTGAAGGGAAAAGGTTACCGGCTTTTGAGCATCATTTTGAGCTGAGTAAACTGACACAGGAGGTGCCAAAGTCCCAGGCATGGCTAGCCTGGGAGTATCTCGTGCTTCGAGACCATATGTGTGTGGAATACCTAGGCCCTAGAATCTCGATGCTGAATCAATGGAAGGTATTCATTTAAGGGTCTGGAAATATTTCACGTCGCCCATGGAAAAATCACGACATTTTTGATAGCTAGCTAATCACTTTTTTTATCTTTTTCTATGGGGAGATTTTTCCATAGCTATGTGAAAAATAACCAGAGGCTAGCGTAGTAAACTTCACCTGACTGAGAGCGTATTTTATTGTGCGCAGCATTGCAGCATTATGGATTCAACCAATGGTACCCATTGTATTCCGAAGAGCTAGCCCTATTTCTGTTAGTTAAAAATCAGCAAAGCCATTCTCTTCTCATATCCATGTTGCTGAATAAAATCTCTGTTGTGTTTCAACATATCACTAGAAATTCTCTTCCCATATCTAGTTGGCACAAAAAACATGTCCAACTTTTCCATCAAACAAGTGAATATTCAACATATCACCAAAATTCCATAAATGTCCCATACATATTTCACAAATAGATCCAACAATTACTTGATATTTTCTGGAATTATAATAAGATGAAAATGCCGACTCCGAACTTCAACTCTATCACATTAATCAGCATAGCCTGATCCATCTGGAATTCTGCAATTCTATCATAATTAAAATCCACATTACACTAGTTAATTATGTATTACAATGTGTAAATCCATATGATAAATGGGTATCATGTATCATGTATTTACACTAGTCATTATAAATAGAAAGACTTGGAATTACCAATATGGAATTACCATTTGGAATTGACACTAGTCATTAAAACTCGTTAAACATATTGCAGGAATACTGAATCTATATCGATCATTTAAGCAGTTCTATATCTTTTACCCGGCCTGGTAAACGTTAACAAAAAACGATGGAAAATCACAAGACTTAATGGGAAAACTATGGAACAACGATGTGAAATCAACGAACTTTTCGACCATGGTCGACCATGCTTCAGACATGTTCCACAAGGTGGTGCCCCCGTTTTCGATAGCTAAGTTGGTGCAAATAAGTCCAATAACTATGGGTTTTGTTGGTGATATATCTATAGTTAATGGGGTTTATAAACCATCTTATAACTGGGGGGCACCACTTTGTAGAAATATCCCACTAAATATTACCTAGATATCGAACATATGCCTCCCTGTGGTTGAACAATTTCGCAAGACTTTTTCCATACACATTCCATGGTTCAGAAATGGTTCAGAAATGTCCATGGATAATTGGACATATACCATGATTCTAACATCTATTAATTCCATAAATGTGTCGTTTCCATAAATATGGAATATTGGAATATGGATATAGTGTCCCTAAGCTGGAACTATCTATTTACAATGTTGATGGAAATATTGAATATCCCAAAGTATTCCATGTTTAAATATGTCCAAAAAGAGTTCCATAAATATTATGGGTTTTCATTGATATAATCTGGTGCCCCCAAGATAGCTAATTGGCGCGTTTATAACTCCAATTTCGCTATGGTTTATAGGTGATATATCTACAGTATTCATGGGCTTTATAAACCATTTTTTCAACCAACTTATAACTGATTAGGCTTATACTACCCAATCATCAATAATCATTTGGGATTGGGGGTTTGATGGTTTGTAGGCTTATATTGGTTCAAACCATTCCCGGTTAGTGTTTTTTTATTTTTCCAATAGTTGGGATGATGATCCAATCTGACGAACTCATATTTTCCAGGGGGGTGGCTCGACCACCAACCAGATATATACATATAATATATCTATGTTACTAGTATTGTAACAACTATTATATATTTGTATTATAACCACTATTATGGGTATTATAACCACTATCATGGGTATTATAACCACTATTATGGGTATTATAACCACTATTATTACATAATCCCATGATTGATGATTATTCAAATCATCAATCTATTGGGGATTCCTGGATCCCACCTTTTCCGAACACGGGGCCATGGGGCCAGGTCCTTGAGATCGCCCGTCACGGTGGTTCCGCAGCGGCAAGCTTTAGCGGTTTGAGAAGGTTTGAGATATGGTGAGAAAAGTCAAACAACATACAGGCCATTAGCTGTAAGTTAATGGTGATTTAATCTGGTTGGTGGTGACTGGAACCATGGAATGGATTATGACTTTCCCATGATATTGGGAATTTCATAATCCCAACTGACGAACTCATATCTTTCAGAGGGGTAGGTTTACCACCAACCATTGATTTAATGGTGATTGAATAGGAATTCATGGGATCTGATCTTACAAGGGATTTCATTTGCTTAGTTGGTGCTAGGGTTTACCGGGGTTATATCTATAACTAAGAAGGATTATAAACCAACTTATAGTTGGGGGTACCACACTGTAACTTGTTGGTGGTTCCATATCATGGGGTTACCAAGAAATCGGATAGGTTAACAATCGTCAATCAGCAGGCCGCCAGGACGGTGCAGGGTTTCGCGGATGGCGGACGAAGGCGATTTGTCACCGCTAGCTCGGGAGTTCAACGAAAGAAGGTCAAACCCTGTGGCATCTGCCCGTGCTGCACAAGCAGCACGCCGCCAGACGGTGCTGGGTTTCGCGGATGGCGGACGAAGGCGATTTGTCACCGCTGGCTCGGGAGTTCAGAGAAAAACTTTCAAACCCTGTGCCGTTTGGGGCCCCTGCTGCGCAAGCTTGCGCAGCACGCCGCCAGAACATTGACTGCAATAACTGAGTGGGTGTGGGTCCAGGTGGCTATCATTAAAAGGGATATGATGGTCTGGTTGGTGGGTTCAAACATTTTTCATTTTCCATAATATATGGGATAATCCTTCCCATTGACTAATATTTGATTTTCAAGATGGTTCAAAACCACCATATTTTCAAGTGGTGATAAATTGGGATATGTGGGATTTTATGGCAACAATGAAATGGTTATCATCATGTGTTTGGTGGTTTCAAAGATAGTTTTCAACCATGGAGATGGGATGAGGGGTTCAGGATGATGAACATATTTGGGGCGTGGGTTAAAACTACAATTACTTTACTTCGAGTTTTCCCCACCATGACATCTATACGTTTTGTTACTGGCAAATCTTCTGGCATTCTATCTGACATATCTTCTGGCATTTTATCTGGCATATCTTCTGGCATTCTATCTGGCATATCTTCTGGCATTCTACCTGGCACATCTTCTGCAATATGTTCTGGCATATCTTCTGGCACTCTATCTGGCATATCTTCTGACATTCTATCTGACATTCTATCTGGCATATGTTCTGGCAAACATTCTGGCACTTTATCTGGCATACCTTCTGGCATTCTATCTGACATTCTATCTGGCATACCTTCTGGCATTCTATCTGGCATAGCTTCTGGCATTTTATCTGGCATATCTTCTGGCATTCTATCTGGCATATCTTCTGGCATTCTATCTGGCATATCTTCTGGCATTCTATCTGGCAAACATTCTGGCACTATCTGGCATATCTTCTGGCATTCTTTCTGACATGCTATCTGGTGTTCTATCTGGCAGTTCTATCTGGCCGTTGAGGTCCAGCGGTGCTCACTGAGCTCCGAGGGTCCCAGGTTGAGGTCCAGCGGTGTCAGTGCGCTCGCAGGGCCCCAGGCTGAGGCCCAGGCGTGCTCATTGAGCTCGGAGGGTGTGAGGTGGAGGTCCAGCGGTGCTCACTGAGCTCGGAAGGTCCCAGGTTGAGGCCCAGCGGTGCCCAGTGCGCTCAGACCCTTGCAGTTGAGGTCCAGCAGTGGCCACTGCGTGCGGAAGTTGGCGAAGAGCTTGGCGAAGAGCTGGCAAGGCGGAAGTGGACATGGAAGTGGAGGCAGAGGTGGTGGAGGAGAACGAGGAGGAGGAGAAGAAGGAGGAGGAGGAGAAGAACAACTCTGATAAAATCTAACAACCCTCACCTGGCAGGTTGGGCAAATTAACTATGGAAAGTCACCATTTTTGATGGGTAAACCTACTATTTCTATGGCCATTTTCAATAGCTTTTTGTATGTTTACCAGAGGGTAACCAGCTTTTGATTTTGAACCATGTGGATTAGTCGTCACTGCAAACCGCATCGCTATATTGAGTTCGGTTAGATTCAAGTGGAATTCATCAGGGGTCGATGGGAAAATCGGAAAAAAACGCTCTTCTGGTTGGTGATTACAAACATGTTTTTTTTCCATTTCACATATGGAATAATCTTTCCCAACTGACGAACTCATATTTTTCAGAGGGGTTGAAACCAGCAACCAGCTCTTGATTTGGTGGTCATAAAGAAACGCTTGGGAATCTCAGGAATTCTTTGAGTGTCAAAGACGTGAAAAAAAGATGAACTTGAGAAATATATCCCATTGAATTCCACAGTTGTGGCCCAACTAAGAGTTATAAATGGGCTTATAATGACATATAACCTCAGTTATCGGAGTTATAAATCCATGTATAACTGTTAAGGGCCCTAACTGCATAATTTGAAACATTCAAACCACCCTAACATCCATTTTGAACATCATTTTCCCAAACGGAAAATGTTCAAGCAAGAGTCAGTGCTTCAAGAAACGATATGCTATCTCCAAAATTCCAATTTCCTCAGTGCCTCCGGTAATTTAACATGGTTGGCCGCAAAAGATGCTGTAAATGAAGGTTTAAACTGGGAAAATCATCGAACTAAACAGTGGATTTTCCCGCAACCCACGGATGATTACCAGAAGGTAAAGGGGGGAATAAACTCTTGTTCACTAGTGGTTTATGGTGGATAAACAAAGCAGGCTGCTGAAACCAATGGTAGATGAATAAACGCACGTAATCAAACCGGATGGTATTTGGGTAGATGATGCACCAATGGTAGGTGGTAAACGGTTGATGGTATTTGGGTAGATGATACACCAATGGTAGTTGGGAATAACCCAGAACAAACCAACCAATGGTAGATGAAAAAAAACCCTTTGCATTCTGAATTCTGGTTGGATGATAATTCCCATCTTCGCTGATGACTTGATGAAATCTGGCTAACCCCCTACCACAAATCATCGGGTAAATTTCATCACGACCTCACTGTTCTCCCAAAGCCTGGTTTTTCATAATTTATAAGAGGAATCATCCCAAAATATGGCCGAACTAGATTCAGTTCAGTGTTTTTTTAATTCACCCAGAGAAATCCATTAAAATCAGAGTTCAGATGTCATTATTTCCCATCAAATCCCATAATTTTTCCATCACGAGGTTCTATCCAATCTTACTATGGTTGCTGTGGTAAACATCAACCACCAACAAACATTAGATCCAACTAAATCACATTATATCGGCCATATTTCTTATTATATCCCACTCATGTCCACGCAGTGTTTCCACATTAGTTGATCAAATAGCATCTTAAATCGTAAATACAATAAATCCGATAAATTAACTCCAATAGATTGGATTTAGTGTGTATGTATATACATGATCGAAGAAGTTAAGAAGTCAAACTTCCGACAATATGGACAGATGAAAAGCAGAGATGGGAAGAGTCAGAGAGAAGAGAAGAGTAGAAGAGTGAAGATCAGAGAAGAGAAAGAGTCAGAAGAAAGAAGATGCAGATGCGCGAAAAGGTAGGAGAGTCGCGAAACACTGTGTTTTTCCAATGATTTGTGGCCCCGAAGGGTCGAAAAGTAGGCTCGCTAAAGCGGCGAGCGCGAAGCCATCTGCAGATGAGAGATGAAAAATTGCACGCCGTTGTGGCGCGAAGCACATTTCGAAGTCAAAATGTACAAAGCACACCATGCTCGGACCACTTTTGGAAGTTAAAATGTCGAAAAAGTGCACTCCGTTGTGGCGCGAAGCACATGTCGAAGTCAAAATGTACAAAACACACCAGGTTAGGACCACTTTTGGAAGCTGCAATGTCGAAAAAGTGCACGCCGTTGTGGCGCGAAGCACACTTCGAAGTCAAAATGTACAAAACACACCATGCTCGGACCATTTTTGGAAGTTGAGATGTCGAAAAAGTGCACGCTGTTGTGGCGCGAAGCACATTTCGAAGTGAACATGTACAAAACACCACATGTTTGCGCCACTTTTGGACGTTCAGATGTGCTTTCGCGTGGCAGGCGCAAGGGATTGTGGACCTTGTCAAAAGTGAGCAAAACGTGAGAGATTTGTGGCATTTCCAAAAACGATGGCAGGCGTGGGACATTTGAAGAGGATCTGCAAAGATGCATTTTCCGTGGCAGGCGCAGTACAAGAGACATGTTCATCAGAGCTGTTCGGAGGTCCGGGCGCTGATTTCCTGAGAGGGGTTGCATTTTGGAGCATCAGATCTTCAGGTTTGCTGAGATGATTTTACATGACAGGTGCAGCACTTCGTATGACCTGGCATCACTTTTTCGTGGTAAGCGCAGTAGTTTAGACACATGAACTGGAAAAATCGCAAGACGCACTGGTACGAGGCCGTCAGCTCTGCACTCAACTTTCCATTTTTTAAGGAAATCTCGCAGAATTGCCTCGTTTTTGATGTTGTCAACTTCGAAAAATGAGGAAGTCTCGCAGAATTGCTTCGTTTTTGACGTTGTCATGTTGAAATATTGAGGAAGTCTCGAAGAATTGCTTCATTTTTGATGTTGTCAACTTTGAAAAATGACGAAGTCTCGCGGGATTGTTTCGTTTTTGACGTTGTCAAGTTCAAACCTTGAGGAGGTCTCGCAGAATTGCTTCGTTTTTGATGTTGTCAACTTTGAAAAATGAAGCACTCTCGCAGAATATCTTGATTTTCAAACTTGCAGATAGACAGGTAGATAGATAATTAGACAGAGAGAGAGACAGAGAGAGAGAGAGAGAGAGATAGATAGATAGGTAGGTAGGTAGGTAGGAAGGTAGGTAGATAGGTAGATAGGTAGATAGATAGGTACATAGTTAGATAGACAGATGAGATAGATAGATAGATAGATAGATAGATAGATAGCTAGATAGCTAGATAGATAGATAGATAGATAGCTAGATAGCTAGATAGCTAGATAGCTAGATAGCTAGATAGCTAGATAGCTAGATAGCTAGATAGCTAGATAGCTAGCTAGCTAGCTAGCTAGGTAGGTAGGTAGGTAGGTAGAAAGGTAGATAGATAGATAGATAGATCGATCGATAGATAGATAGATAGGTAGGTAGGTAGGTAGGTAGAAAGGTAGATAGATAGATAGATAGATAGATCGATAGATAGAGAGATAGATAGATAGGTAGGTAGGTAGGTAGGTAGGTAGAAAGGTAGATAGGTAGATAGGAAGATAGATAGATACATAGTTAGATAGACAGATGAGATAGATAGAAAGCTAGATAGATAGAGAGACAGCTAGATAGACAGATAGATACAGAGACAGCTAGATAGATAGATAGATAGATAGATGGATAGATAGATAGATAGATGAATAGATGACAGCTACATAGATAGATAGATAGATAGATAGATAGATAGATAGACAGCTAGATAGATAGATAGGTTGATAGATAGATAGATAGATAGATAGATAGTTAGATAGATAGATAGATAGATTGGTAGAAAGACAGATAGACAGATAGATAGATAGAGAGACAGCTAGATAGATAGATAGATAGATAGATAGATAGATAGATAGATAGATAGATAGATAGATAGATAGAGAGACAGCTAGATAGATAGATAGATAGATAGATAGATAGATAGATAGATAGATAGATAGATCAATAGATGGATAGATAGATAGATAGATAGGTAGGTAGGTAGGTAGGTAGAAAGGTAGATAGGTAGATAGGTAGATAGGTAGATAGATAGATACATAATTAGATAGACAGATGAGATAGATAGAAAGCTAGATAGATAGAGAGACAGCTAGATAGACAGATAGATAGAGAGACAGCTAGATAAATAGATAGATAGATAGAAAGATAGATAGATAGATAGATAGCCAGCTAGCTAGCTAAGTAGGTAGATAATGAGAGAAAGAGAGAAAAAGAGAGAGAAAGAGCGGAGACATCAATCACCTTTCGATCCATCAGTGGCTTCGCGCTGCCATCCGTAATTCACAACAACCAACCTCTTCTATAGGTTTCCTATTTTTGAAATTTCCGCAACCGCCTTGTGCGGTACTACTGGTACACACACACACACATATATATATATACATAAATTGCAGTGATATCTATCTATCTATCTATCTATCTATCTACCTACCTCGATCTATCGATCTATCGATCTATCGATCTATCTATCTTTTCTTATCTTATATTATCTTATCTTATCTTATCTTATCTTATCTATCGATCTATCGATCTATCGATCTATCGATCTATCGATCTATCTATCTATCTATCTATCTATCTATCTATCTATCTATCTATCACCAACACACATTGCACGAGGATGGCACCATCTCGTAGAAAATCTTTGAGAGGCAAAATCCTCATGATTGGTATTTCTCCTACTCTCCTCATTATATCCCCATTATATCCCATGAAGCTAACCATAAAAAGATAGAAATCATGAACAATCACCAGTAAATGAAAAATGCAAGAATTAATTAAAACATTGATTTCCACTTTAAGGCTTCCCAAGAAAGATGTAACATTTTTCGATGTTGCGCGATCCGTGCGCGGATTGAGGTTGGCCAATCTGGCAGCAACTTCATCCATGCCGAAGGCTTCAAGCTCTACGTGGAGAAATGGGACAGTCGATGGGGAGAGTTGTGGGCGAAATCCCACATGTTATGTGGGAAAACAATTGGAAAGCGGCTGGGAAAATCATGGGAAGATCATGGGAAAGTATTGGAAAATCATGGGTAATATATAGGAACACCCGCGAAGAGGATGGAGGTTTGCTGGGAAAATCATGGAAATCTTGGATTTGCTGATGATTTGGTTTGTTTTCCTAGTGGTAATGCCCACTACTTGGTGGATCTGTTAGGGAATATGAATAATTATGTTTTTTGGGAGGACTTCCTTCACAAGGTGCCCCATACTTTGGTTTGTAACTCGAATAGCTATGGTTTATGGTAGATATATCTATACTTAATTGCTGCAAACAACTCCAACAACTTTGGTTTATAAACCAATTTATAACTGGGGGGCACCACCTTGCAGCAAATCCAGTGTATGAGAGGTACCACTCGTGGTGTTTGCAGTCCGAATCGCTAAGTTGGTGGAAGTATGATGAAACAGGGCGAACTATGATTTATTTCATGTATGTATATATAGTTAGACGGCTTCATGGACCCAAAAGGTACTACTGGTACATTTATATACATGTATATGTTTTTTTCTCGGGCCTCGGGGTTCTTATACATGATGGCCGATCATGATGGCCGATGGCCTTTCCCGTAACGGTCCAACATCACCGTCCAACATGACATGACCGGTCCAACATGGCATTTGCTCATGGGTGAAACCATCGCTCTGAGGGAAACACTTAAGATGAACAAAACTTTCGAGGCAAGATGAAAACACTTTCGAGTCATTTGCAGCAGCGGCCATGGTGGCCGTGAAGAAGATCAAGTCTGAGACGCTTGGAATCAGCTGGGAATTGTCTAGTGGCTGATCCACCATGCCTTTGTTTGCAGTTGCTGCGTTTCCACCCGCATCAGGGATGGCTCCGTGTCCTACCACATTGTGCAGCTCAGTGCAATGTATGAATTTCAGCGTGCCTTGTTGGAAAAATAGTTGGAAACGCATGACAATTCTGGATCCCTCTTGGCTTCAAGGCGAGTACTATCGAGACGAGATCGGAGACCTGTCAAGCCCATATCTCTTGGCAGACCGCCAGCTATGTCGGACAGCCTCGTTTCAATATGTGTGGATCACATTTTGGAGGGGAAACGCACGCTACAAAATGGGGACTCTAGCAGAATAGCCGGGCTAAAACCAACCAACAATGCTGTTACCCTTTTTGGTGGGGAAAATATGTTTGAACATTGGCGTTTAACAGACTTGAACCACCTTTTGGACAGGAGAATCTTTCGAACAAAACTGGTGGCTTATAGGAGCTGATTTCCAATCTCTCGTAGTTTTCAGATGGAAACATGATGACGCTACTTGTGCAAATCAGAAAACTGAATTTTACAAACAACCAATAATTATGGGCAGCGCTTTATTTATGATGATCCGTAATGTAATCATTGTACCAAAAGGGTGACCCTTTGGTCCTGTCAGATGGAATTCTGAAGGCGTTGGGACCCTCCAATGTGTTGTTAAACAAAAAAGAGTGGCATGGCTGGAACACGCTGGAACATCTTGTTTGCAGAAGATGTTCAAATTGAAGACAGACTTTTGTAACTTGTGTATTTTCCATTGATAATTTGATAGCTGTTTTTTTTTACCAGGTTAAGTTCCCTGTTTGAGTTGATCGTTTCTACTTCTGCCCCGTGTTGCATTGCGCCAATGCACCATGACTCTCCCGTAATTTACCTCATTCCAGGGATGCCATCTACGGATAGTTTTTTGTACCGTCCATAAAGGTAGAAAAGTAAGACAGCATTAAGATAGTGGTAAGAAAAAGGCATGTATATCACATGATCATCGATTGTATCCGATTTTTGTTAGCAACAAGATAGCCCGTAAAATCCTGACATATCCTGTATGCATTATGTATTTATGAAATCCCGCATCTATCAGAGGATCCACCGGCAATCATCTCCTGCGTCTCCTGCATCCAAATCTCACTTGTTGGAGAAACCCAGCTTCAATCTTCCCAAAAAAACATCAACAAACAACCAGAGGATTTCCTGATAAAAAAACAGTTCAAATCTCTGCAGGAAAACAGCAGTTTCAACAAGTTGGCCCTCTTCGATGGATCGCTGTGGGGAAGCCTAGCTGTGATTTTGGGTGATCCCTGCGTCGACTCTGTGAGTTTTTTTTTGGACATGTATCGTCTAAATGGAGGTTTTCCTGAAATGGAGGGTACCAATAAATCATCCATTTTTTGGGATTTTCCAAGCTATCAAACAGCTGTTGGGGATCACTATGGAAAGCCCCTGAAAAATGGTGTAATTGCCGGGAAATCATCAGCAGATGTAGGAGATAAGGTTCCCTTTACTGGTTATACATGGTTCTAAGTGGTTACACACCATAAATGGGGTTATAACTTATAACTGACTTATAGCTGGTAGAGGGACCTAACTGTAGGTAACTTTTCCATGAACAAAATGTTATGTTGGGCTATCCTACTGACCTAGCCACGGCAAGTTGGTGGCTGTTTCACATCTACTCAATTGGTTTCTGTAAAAACTTTCGAAACGATGATGCCAGTTGAATGTCCAAAGATGGAGGTCATCCAGTATGATCGTATTTGAAATATTGAACCAGTGGCAGGCCCATATTTTCTTGGTGTGAAAAACCCTGCATTTTCATGGGTTTCTCGCAATTTGCACCTGATCTAGCCATATTTTTTGATATCATCTTCAATCCTTGCGATTTCGGATTCTAATTATTCCCCATTTATGAGCAGTGCCTGACATACCAATTGGTCGTTTATGATCTATTTACTAGCTAATTTAATACAGGGACTACGGGGATCCACCAGGGTGCCAGTGGGATGCCAGGAACCCGCATCTTTGTAGCGAAGTCGCCTAACGAGACTTGATGTCTTCATCCATTGGCCCTGGAATGTGAGACCTGCCGCGCAGCGATGCGAACCGCGTGGATCGCGCAGGGGAAGCCTGGAAATTTCGGTGAGTGGAGCGGAAGAAAGAAGTCCCTTGTCATTGCAGTTCTTTTCTGCATCACGTGCTGCAGCAGTGTGGAGACAGGTCTGGAACTGCAGCAGTTTTGAAAATGAAGATAGTTGAATTTCTGACTAATCGAAGTTAGTTAGTTCATTCTGAGCTAGAAGCGCAGGAAATGAAACAGAAAATGGAAGACGCTGGTAGTAGCAACAAGCGCAAGGCAGATGCTGAACCAGAAGAAGGACCTCAAGGTAGCAGTAGCAGCTTGATGGTAGATATATCTACCAGAACCATCCAGCATGTAGTGAAATAAGCCAACAGCGAGCAAACCTATCGCAACTGGAGACCCCATTGTCCCACTATATCCCACCATACCCACATCCTATTCCCATGGCAAATTCCTATAATATTCTAATATTCCTATGAAATTCAAACGTCCCCAGTCATTGTGAGATGATCCAACCCATTAGTAGGTGAATCATTGCCACAAGGATATATATATATATACATATATATATACTAGTTCTCTTATTATTGTTTTTATCATTATATTTAATTATCATGTTATTTTATTAATGTTTCTTGTCATTGTTTTTTCTATTATTATTACCAGTATTTCTATTATTTCTATACTGGTATTATAGTTACCATTTTTTTTTACTATTATTATATATACTGATGCTTTGGTATTTGCCTCTATATTGAGCCTTAGTATGAATTATAGCATTTTCCCTTCCTTTGGCTCCTGGGGCGCTGGGAGCATCTCTGCATTCTGAGGTGTATGACCTCCATGAGTAACATCAAGAACTTCATGCTTTTTGGCGATCTGCGCAAAGGCCTCGGCCTTTTTCTGGGTGGCCCTCAATTTCTCGAAGTGGATTTGATCGACATTACATAGCTGGATAGATAGTAGTTAGTAGTTGTCCATCAAGATTCCGTTTTGGATAACATCTTGTGCTACCAGGACACGTCTGCTTTGTTTTCGTTCTGTGGTCAGCCTAGTCTTCAACCAACTTATCCCAGTTAATGCATATATTAGGCCTAGTTAGTTGGTTACAATTATGTGGAAATACCTTACTAAACCATTGTTTCTAAGGGGTGTTTAATTTTATTAGTAAGGATAAATCCAAGATTGTAGGAAACTGTGCGTTGTTTCTAAAGCCCATCTGGCTTTGCTACAATGTCAACCACCAGGGGTTTGTATGGGCATTGCTCATTCCCGGCAAATTTTACTGTAGTTTCACAACCGGACATGCGAGATTCTCAGAAGATTTCCTTTACCGTATAAATATTTTTAAGGTGGTTTGAAGCCGCCTTAACTTTCTACGAACTAATGTCTGCTCATGGTGAACCTTAGGACAAGACCCCATAGAACTGCTTGTTCAACTGATTGTTCGAATAGAAAGCTAGCGGGATCAAAAGGCAACTTCGTGACGAATTTGCAAGGACACTGACTTTTTCAATCGTTTCTCAGTTAGTCGGCGATAAGGCGAATGGGGTCTGAAATCAACCAGACAGGATGCTACGCTTTAAGATATCTCCTGCAAGACAGCCACTGCGGCTGGTCAGAAAGGTTAGCAATCACCATCACTACGAAACCATAGGCCAAACAATTGCCACCACTATGCTGCGGGGGGCTGGAGCCGATGGCTCAAGTTTATCAATGTCTGAGATTTCTTGGGGTTTTGATCAATCTCAGATTTATCCGTATGAAAATCCTTTCCCCTCATATTAAACACCACTTTGAAACCATGGTTTAGTAAGGTATGTCCATGTATTTCCGCATTATTTCCGCATAATTGGGACCATAGAATGGAGGTACTTCCTCCTTCTGGCCCGCAGGAGTGGACTTCTGCCAGTGGAAGGAGGAACAATCCACTGGTACCAGGAGTCCTATGGGAAGAACATGGGAATATCATGGGGGTAAGGTCGGCAACCCAAGATACTTTAGTCTGTAGTGACTGGCATAGATTAACTGTGATTTCTCAATAGTAACTGGGATATATATTCGTACTCTGAGCCTGAACCAACCATCAACCCCATCTTCAATAGTATTGGCAACATGGGTGATTGGTTTACTGATGATTGATTGCTATGTTGATTTTCTGTTTTGCCGCAAATGGAGGACTGCCATACTCAACCACATATCGAAAGATATGAGTCCAACGGTTGCCGATCCTGAGATAATCCAACCAATCTGATTGGACCAGAAATGCCGCCGTCATATTGTAAATTTCTGCATTTCATTGAAACCCACATAGCATCAAGCACCTGGATTTGCTGAAGATTTCATGATCAATTACTATATTATAGACTTATAGATAGCATAATCGATCAATTATTTCCTTCAGCATAATCATAATCACAGTAATTAATGGGTAGCATCAAAAATAGACTATCTTCTCATTGATCAATTTATCATGTGGTGCATCAACTGAGAAGATCTGTTTGATTTTTTTGCGACCCCTGAAGCAAATCGAGAACATCATCGACCCATAAACATGGTTGGCTTACCCTCCAGTCATCAAACACTATCCGCCATGCATAGTTGATTTTCCCATAAAAAACTCAATTCATAGAGGATTTCCCACTGCCACGTTTGAGAGGGTAATCAACCTATAGTATCCAATAGTCCATTAATATTCCATTATCATAAATCCCATCATATGTTCATTAAATCACCCTTAAATCACCCTTAAATCACCATTGCCGGAGGGTAAATCACCAATAAACCTGACCTATTTGTTTGTTTTTTGGTTTTTGTTGACCCATAGCCATCTAGACGACATGACCCTCATTTTTGGATTTGGGACTCATTCCTGATATGCTGCGACCACTTGGGCCCGCCTCACTGTGGAGTATGTTTAGTTTGGGGAAGAATGCAAAAGAAATGCAAGTTTGGACAACCATTCCCCAAAGTAAACACAATCTATGGTGAATTCTTCCCCAAACTATAATTATGTTTGCTCATCTTATTTTTCAGAAACATGATGAAACATGTATAGCCTGCCCAGGTTTTTTAAGACCAAAAGTATCATGTGTTGAGAATTGGTTTACCAAGTTCTTTTTGAAGTAGAGGGCGAAATCAAATGGGAGAGTATTGCGCCTCAGAATTCCTGAGAATAGATATCTTTGGATTGAACACATGCACAACCGGTATACAGCTGAATACTTTTCATTGTCCAGGTTAGACGGCAATCCTGCAGATATGTCCCAAGTAATACCCACTTGGTAAGCCTAGTTACCTAGCTAAAGTTCTATGTTTGTCAAGTCACGATGATTATGGATCACATCTTACCATCTTTTGCGCCAAATTTGTTCTGTCTCATTCTATCCCATAAATGCAGATCTTGTTCCAGAAGTTTTGCTCGACAAACCTCCAGTTATAGCCATTAGGGTTGGTTCAATATTCATGAAAACTTGGAGCTGATGTTCTCCATCGAATTTCCCATTCATTGGTTGGTGTTATTTTTGTTTGATGGTTGAATCCCCATTGGCATACAACTTGGGGCCTCCAAGATAGCCAAGTAGACTTTATAAGTGGAGTAACTTGGATTTTTGGTGGATGTAAGTATACATTGATGTCGTCCCACTTGGTTACTACTCAGTGTCCCTGCTTAATAAGTCCCCAATTCGCGCTTGTCGCAAATATAATTGGCTGATATCCCCAGAAGCACTAACTCGTTTACAAGTTCTGGGGTGACGCCTCCAAGTGTAAACCAACCAATAACCCCATCATTATATCATCATTATATCGCCATGACATCACAGCTATATCACCATTATATCACCATCAAAACGTACCAGAATGATCCAGGTAAATGTCTTAATCCTTCGGCACCTTTTTGTGCTGATCGCCGTGGTTTTTTTACCACGACCTTGGACCAGGACCATTCGCAGACTCTCCCGATCACCGCCATCCATGAACATGACTGCCTGTTTTTTTCTGCCCGTTTTACCCAGTTGCGTAAATGACCAAAAATTTGGGGAATGATATGGAATAATGGTGGCTTAATCATCAAACATGATGATTTAATGGAATTTAATGGGATATCATGGGGATACCCAGTGGAATATCCCAAGCTATGGCCAGTTGAATTGGAAAAATTGGGCATAGCCGCGCCCAACTTGTGACCAGTTCGAATGGGAGGATGACATTCCATGGAACTTTGGGTACCCGACGTTCAGACAAAGTTGTGGTGAATGGAAATTGTGGCACTGGGGACTCAACAAAATCCAACTTCTCATGAGTGAGAAAAATCTCAACTTTCCCCCAATAGAAAATGGAGCCCCGGAATGCCCATCAAACAGGTTCAATCAATATATTCCCCTAATCAACCCAGTGCTTGTAATGATGTAGGCACCAAGTTGATCCAAGTTAGCCATAGCAAGGAGGTTAGTTCTATTTCATTCTATGTTCTCATTTGCACCATTGTCTCTCCCCATTATAAATCCAGTCATCTTTGGCTGTTCCACAATGATCCAATTTAGATCCACTCAGACCATACGAAACCATCTCTGAATCCAAACAAGAAATCCCACACCTTTCCACATATATCACATATATTACATATATGACATACATTACATATATTGCATATATTACATATATGACATACCTTACATACATTACATACATTACATGCATTACATATATTGCATGTATTACATACATTACGTACATTACATACATTACGTACATTACGTACATTACATACATTACATATATTACATATATGACATACATTCCGTACATTACATACATTACATATATTACATATATGACATACATTCCGTACATTACATACATTACATATATTACATATATGACATACATTACATATTTTTCATGTAACATATAAAGTTTGAAAGAATATTTCACTATTACGAGTATGATTCATATTGTAGATTATATAGGTGGGACTCCTGATTTTGAAGCTGAGCCGGCTGAGCCCTCTGCGATTAATGTCTTGTGAAAACAAAGACGAGCATAAACTTAGGGTGACGCATGGGCAATGCCCAGCATGTACCTAGGTGAAAGCAAAGTGTGGCATGAACTTAGGGCCACGTCATGCCACCTCATTCCGTGGATCAAACAAAATCATGAAGCTGGTGGTGATGTCGTGCAATGGTCATGACATCAATGGGAATTTCAGGATCCTAAAATAGAGGTACTGCAACATATAAGGCCATATTTTGTGGGGATATTCCCTTACATAGGCCTTATATTCCCATTGATGACAGTGTTGAAAATGGTTTTGGCTCTGCGCACAGCTGTCACTGTGGCAGTGGCAGGGGCTTTTGACATGAGCCAATGAGAGCATTGGAAAGGCCCAAAATTGGTATGCAAACAGCAAGTGGATAAGGATTTACCGAAACCCCATTTGATAGATAACTGATTGGTGGTTTCAAACATGATTTTTATTTTCCATTTCATGAATGGATAATCCCTCCCATTGACTTTCACATTTTTCAGAGGGGATGAAACCACCAACCAGACAAAAAAATGTTTTTGCCAGTTTCACTTGCATGATCGTTATGGTTGCAAGTGTCCATTGGAGTAGCTCGAGGAGCTGGGCGAACAGCCCAAAGTCCAGTGGTTTATCAACATGTTGCCTTTTAGCATATATAGTAACTCAATGATTTACAGCAACATACACATATACATACATACACATCATACGTTTATAATTACATGTTGTATACACACGATATGGGTTAAACCTTGGGGCATCCGGAGGGACGCCAGGACGGTGTTGGCCTGCGAGTTTGTGATTCACCAGAAGTCCTTGGGTTTGGTCCAGGGCTCAGGGAAAAAAGGGACCTCGTCAGCTTGGGATTTACCAACAGATAGCAAGAGATTTGGAAATTTACTAAGGTTTTTGTAGGTATATATATATATATATTGTTTTTTTAACATATATATATATATGTTTTTACATACTGTGCATATACATATATATATATATATTTACACATATATATATACTTAGTTGGGTTGTTCAAAAATCAACTTGAAACTGGGAGGTCCACCTTTCATAGGATTATGATAGAACATGGCAGTTCAAATTGTGACTGTTTTGGGGTCAGTAAGTTAATATGTCGGACCTCCAAGGGAATCAGATCGAATTCGCTTGTATAATTAGATTGTATAATTAGATTGTATAGTTAGATTGTATTAATGTCGGAAACATGGGCAGTTTCATAAGAGTTAGTGGGAGTTAACCAACAGACATTGTGATTGAATGAGAGTTTGTGGCCAAGGATGACTTCATGGGTTGACAATACCAACCGAAGTGGTTAGTTATGGTGAATAGTCAATAGCAACCATACAATTGCAAACATAGTTAGCAATCAGTGAATTATGGAAATATAAGCAACCATATGTGTGTTGAATATAGTTGCGGGGGAAACCGACACAGAAGAGATGCAATGTGGCCATTGCTATCTCTTGGACTGGAACGTTGGGCGGTCACGTTCGCATCGCGGACTGCTTTCACATGGCCACCCTCAACCCAGAGACCGGGATGTATGAAGATGTCGTTGGGGCAGGCAGCCTGGGCCTCAAAGAAATGCAGCAGATGCATCTGGTTGACAACCTTGTGGAGACCTCGAAGTACAAGAAGGTTTTCGGTTGGCGCTTGGAAAACCCTGTGGTCTATGATCCTCCCCGGAGCTATCGCCACATCAAAGGATGTTGTCAGCTCTGGGTCCGGCAATCAAAAAGGCAACTGTTCAGAAGAAGCCAGCCAAGAAGCAGCCGAAACACCGAAAAAACACATCATCCTCAGGCTCATGGTGAACCACTACAAACCACTAAACCAGCCTCTGGGATAGCAGGACGAGGCAAAAGGTTGTGGTGGTCCGAGGTCAACTTACCTCGAGAGACGTCGTGGAGATGAATACACCTGGTGTTTGAAGGACCTCAACTTCTTATTTCCCATCTAAAGTAGGGTGAAACAAATGTCAACCCCGACTATTTTAGTACCCAATTATGACTATTTTGGTGGGACGCCCATAGTACTGTAATTGATGTGTTTATTGTTTTGGGGTTCACAATAATCGTCTCATACCTGGGTAAACCTTGGGTGCACAAAAGGGCCGGATAAACTTTCGTTGGGGAGTTGGATTTCGGCACGTTCAACCATTGTTAAACGGGAATATAGCTCATATAACTGGATTTTGAACATCACCAGGTTTGTATTTCCTGTCCGTTTGGATGAATTGTCGCGATCTCACAATGGCGTCACTGTAGATGATACTTAGTAAGGGCAACTTCGTGTAATCTCCCAACAATCACCTTATACAAAGTGGTGCCCCCCAGTTATAAGTTGGTTTATAAACCCCATGAACTGTAGTTATATCTACTATAAACCATAGTTAAACCACTTATAAGGCAACTTAGCTATCTAGGGGGCACCACATTATATTTACCTGGATGACTTATAATTCAGCCAAATCCATGTCATGGTCACATCGGATGTGTCCCTTAACAAGGGTTGGCTCAATCGCCGCAACTGCCCTGGTACCTGTGGTGTTGGGAGCAACATTGTTACCTGAACTGAGCTGATGAAGCCGTATGAAACCTCATTAAGGGTTCCTATCCCTCTGTAAACGATTCTGTTTTAGGAAAAAACGCAGTTTCATCCTTCCTAAAACATGATTTTTCGGTTCAAAACCCACACCAAACAGTTTCAAGGTGGTGCCATCCCCAAGGTTTAAGCCGGTTTGTAAACCATAGAAAGTACTTGGTATAAACCATAGTAAGTAGAGTATAAGCCAGTTAGTAACTCACATGTATTTACCATAAACCCAACAGTTAGTGGAGTTCGAAACAATCTCAGCGAACGAACTTCGCTAACGAACTGGGACTTTTTTGGGCGCCAGAATTGGTTGGTTTAAACCACCACTGAGGTGGCACTGGATCACAAAGGCAACGTTCATCTCTACCAGTACACGCCACACAGCGATGGACGAGAAGGGGACAGCAGTGGCGGGTCGGCGGGCGGCCTTGGATGGGCAGGATGAACCAAAACAAATTGGTTGGGACCTATGAAGTAATGGGCTCATAGATGGGATGAGTTAGTACCATTTGTTAATGGTTAGTTAATCCCATTGGCAAATTGTTAGTATTTTTTTTGGGTTCACCAATTGATGTTTTGACCCAGACTTGAACACAGAACACATTTTGACCCAGCATCCCGGGTTGATTGCTGCTGTGGGCCAGCTCTTGGTGGCAGAGGTGGCCAAGAAAGGGGGGGGTATTGCGGCTATTAGATCGAGAAGCTGCACAGAATGCGCAAGTCCAAGAGTCGGCATCGGCAGCCCATGCTGCTCAAGATACTGAAGGACAACGAGCGCTTCCGGTACCCAGTTGCCCAGGAGCTTTCCCGCTGCACGGGGGCATCCATTCTTTGGAGCCAGCTTTACAGGAAGTGTTCAGCGGCAGCATCTTCCACGTGGAGTGGAAGGAGGGCCTTGAGCAGGCACATCTGTTGCACATGTGTTTGGAGGTGGCGCTCATGATCCTCAAGTCGGTGAGGGCAATGGGCCACCGAGACTTTTGCCCTGCAGCGCGTGGTCGAAAGAGCATCTTGAATCAAACATGGCCCAGGCATGTCCATCATTCTTTCCCAAACTGCTTGCGATGCTTAATGTGTTCTGCATTGCTTTCCCAAACTTGCTTGATGTACTTGTTCCCCACCTGCCAGGTGAGGGTTGTCAGATTTTATCAGAGTTGTTCTCCTCCTCCTCCTCGGCTAGCTGTCCTCCTCCTCCTCCTCGTCCTCCTCCTCCTCCTCCAGTTTCTCCTCGACCATGGCTGCATCAACTTCCACCTGCACTTCCGCCTTGCCAACTCTTCGCCAAGCTCTTTACCAACTCTCTTCGCCAAGCTCTTTGCCAACTTCCCAGCTCAGTGTGCACCGCTGGACCTCAACCTGGGACCTTCCCAGCTCAGTGTGCACCGCTGGACCTCAACCTGGGACTGTCCCAGCTCAGTGTGCACCGCTGGACCTCAACCTGGGACCTGCCCAGCTCAGTGTGCACCGCTGGACCTCAACCTGGGACCTGCCCAGCTCAGTGTGCACCGCTGGACCTCAACGGCCAGATAGAATGCCAGAAGATATGCCAAATAGAATGTCAGATAGAAAGCCAGAAGATATGCCAGACAAAATGCCAGAAGATATGCCAGATAGATATGCCAGATAGAATGTCAGATAGAATGCCAGAAGATATGCCAGAAGATTTGCCAGATAGAATGCCAGAAGATATGCCAGATAGAATGCCAGAAGATATGTCAGATAGAATGCCAGAAGATATGCCAGATAGAATGCCAGATAGAATGCCAGAAGATATGTCAGAATATATGCAAGAAGATATGCCAGATAGAATGCCAGAAGATATGCCAGATAGAATGCCAGAAGATTTGCCAGATAGAATGCCAGATAGAATGCCAGAAGATATGTCAGAATATATATGCCAGAAGATATGCCAGATAGAATGCCAGAAGATATGCCAGATAGAATGCCAGAAGATTTGCCAGATAGAATGCCAGAAGATATGCCAGAAGATATTCCAGATAGAATGCCAGAAGATATGTCAGATAGAATGCCAGAAGATTTGCCAGTAAGCAAATGTATAAATGTCATGGTGAGGATCACACGAAGTAAAGTAATTTTCTATGGTACTTTTTTGGCCTCAGGACCTTGCAGCTGCGGAGTCTCTGAGATTGGCCGCTTTTTGTCGGTACCCTATTTTTACGGGGATTTTTTTTCCCCCTCCTCGGGTTTTTTTTCCCCGGCTAAGTTCTCGCAGACTGGTGTGGCAGGGAAGCAAGGCAGCAAGCAAGCAAGCCGGCCAGCAAGCAAGCCAGCCAGCCAAGGCCCCAGCCCCAGCCCTGCACGCGGCACAACACTCTGCCCCTCCAGCAGCACATCCAGGGGCCAAGCAGCTTAATCCAACTCCATGTCAAGGATTCATATGTTGTTTGGGAAGCCTGGAAGCCGGTTGAAAGCTTTTAATGGCTCACTTCGGAACATCAAAAAACTAATATGCTGAAATGTCAATATTGTCCTTTCTGTTCTTGCTTGGGATTGTTTGATTGTTTGACCCACAGCCATTAGTAAGTCATCTGTTTCTGTTTCTTTTCAATTTGGTATTGAATTGTCGCAGGTGTGTCTAATCTCTTCTCATCAAGAGTTTTCCATGTTCTTTGGTGTTGTCCCAATCATTTTGGTAACTTGGTAACAACACAAACTTCAGGACTTGCACAGAGAAACCATGTGTTTGCTGGGCCTGAAGTGTTACTTGAGAACAAGTACTTGCTGGTTTTCTAGAAAAATGTGAGCACTTTGGTCTAATATTTTAGGGCTATCAGCTCAAAAAATGCAGGATATCCAAGATTGGCAATGTATCTTCTAGAAATGGGCCATTATCCGGGAATTTCTAGAGGCTAGAGTTGTGGCCCTCATTGGTTCCCAGGGAGCCCATATCATGGGGGTAGCAGTACAAGTCTTTAGCAATACCAGGCAAAGGTGGTAATGATCACATTCTGGTTGGTGGTTTGGAACATGTTTTTTCCATATATTGGGAAGAATGATTATAATCCCAACTGACGAACTCATATTTTTCAGAGGGGTGGCTCAACCACCAACCAGACATTAGTACAATGTGGTGCCCAGGTATAAGCTGGTTTATAACCACTTTAGTGACTTTAGTGCGATACATATCTACCATAAATCCTTGTTATTCGAGCTATAAAACCAACTTAGCGACTTGGCACCACGATTGGTACCTATACCAAGTTACAAACTGATCATCTCAACAATGCTTGCCCCCCAGTTCGGAATCGCTACCTTGCTGCCTACAGGGCAAGAACTGTTAGGTTGATTTGGGGGATACTTCCTTGGGGTTGCAAAGCAACCAACTTACTTGTGCTAAACGCAGGGAATGAGGGAATGATCCACAATAACTATTAATAATCATCCCAGCAACCCCCATTCCCATCCATTCTCTACTAAGCACCAGTAAGCTTATAAAGCAACTTATAACTAGGGAGAAATAGGGGGCCCGCTTTGTATTTGTTACAATTTGATTGCTTGACGCTGCGGTGTGATCATCATCGCTTAAGCAGTTCTTGAGTGCGGAACTCACCTTCGAGATTGATCTATGTTGATTTTCAACCAGCTGGAAGTTGTCGAATATGGATAAACCCAAACAACAAGTGGGACCAAGTAGAACTGGTAATTATCCAGCTCAATCTTCGGAATGTTCAACCACACTTGGAAGAATAGTATCAATGTTACCTTGGCAAGATGATGTAGATTTCCCATATGCCAGAAAACGGATATTCATACATATTACGGAATATTTAGGTAATACTAGTGATATTAAGGATATTAATCATATTTTGGTGTAATACTATTGATATGTAGATTTCCCATATATAAAATTAGCTGGTATTACACCGGAGGAATTTGTCGGAACATGAACGGGATTGACCTCGATACATTTTGTGCCGGCACTAGCTATCTCCATGCTTTCAGTATTCGTATATTGCCATTCAAGTGCTGTTGCTAACCCAATTCCTTGGTCCTTGGTGAGTCTTGTTTTATTTCCAGTTGGTTACTATCCCAACAATATTGGCTTAAAAGATTCGGTAACATTAGGACTTGAATCCATTATGCATTATCATATTATTGTTGGTCAGTTTTGGATAACCGTACTTAGTATATGTTCCCAATATCTTAGAAATATTGGAGGGGAACATTTTGCAGCAATCCCCAATGTTTGGTGTTAAAGTTAAAACAGTGGTCAGTTCAACTTAGTTTTGGTAGCAGATGGTTGTCCTACCAAAACAGCAATGCGCTTGATACACTCGGAATATCAGAATATCATGTTCAAGACTATCGACAAATCATATCTGATAACAATATTGTTCAGCTGTTGGAAGGGAGCGGTTAGGATCTATGGGTATTTGCATTCCCTATCAAATACGGAGCCAAGGAACTCGCACAAGTTTCCAACAATATGGAGGTTTCCTGAAACGGGGGTACCCCAATAGCTGGATGGTTTATAATGGAGAATCCTATTACAATGGATGGTTTGAGGGTATCACAATTTTAGGAAACTTCCATATTATATAAAATCCCAACAAGTGTTACCAATTATCAGGTTCAAAAAATCTGATATCTTATACAATCATCATCCTGAAAATCACGCCTACATCAAGAGTGACAACATGATTCCAGGACCAAATCCTTCGCAGCTGCGCCACCTTCGCCATGGGCGCTCCCTGCAGATCTGCCTTGAGGCTGTCCCGTGGGGTCCCGTCTGGCCGGCTGTGAAGGGGAATGGTTAGTTGATGATAGGGGTAAATCAATGGAACAATTCAATGGACCATATAAATTAATGGATGATTAATGGATAGTCAATGGATAATCCAATAATAGTGGATAAATCCAATGGATATTTAATCATTAATAGACCATATATCAATTGATAATCAATGGATAATTAATGGAAAAGACATGAATCTGGGTAAATGATGTTGTGACCTCACGTTGGCTAATCATCCCCATAGCTGGCCGCAAGTTTCAGGTAAGTGAAATTTATGATTTGCCCAGATCTAATGCACGGGTTGGTAGTCCTGTCCAGTTTTGGTGATTTTGAACATCACTTGAAAATGCTGAAAACAGTATCCCTTGAAGATTATATCCTGTATTGATGTTTGCTGATGTTCAATTAGGACATTTACCCTCCAGTAGATTCACATAGACCCTGCCAGATAGGAGTTGGAAGATTAGTTTCCATTAAGAAATTGTGATTTTCAGGGTCTATGTCAATTTACCAGAGGGTACCAACCCCTGTAATGACACATTCCACTGAAAATGGGGAAGCCTGGGGGCTCTGTCGCTAGGACGGGATCTAAAACTAATACTGGCTGGCAAGGAGCTTAGTGGGATTCCAGCGAGATATGTTTGGAACATTGATGGGATAGCAATGGGCATATTTCTTTACAATGGGATATACATAATCTATATACAGTATATATATATACATAAACGATTCATAAATGGATATCTAATGAGTCATTGGGGCCCTGTAGTGTTTGTGCATGATGTTTCGACCACCAGTGGGATTGAATGGGATTGATCAGAAACCACGGCGAAACCTAACAAGCATCGGGATATTGGGAGGATCCTCCAAGCGTGGGTTCTCCAACTTCTCTGTGGGGTTGCCTCAATGGCTATGTTATGGTGGGTCGACCTCCAAGGAAATAGAGCCCATGAGCCGAAATTTCTTTGCAACTGGCAACCAATGAAGCGCCAAACTGTTCTTTGCTTATTTTGTGATTTCTCATTGTTTCATGTTTTTTCTTGCTGTGAAACGAACAGTTTGAAGAATGGATTAAGATCGTTTCCGATCGGCCCTGTGGGGATGGAACAATTTTTTGTGTGACCCAAATTGGTCAAGAAACTGTGTGACACAAGGTGAGTTTATAGTATGTTTTTGTTTGCAGATTGTCAATATTTACAAAGAAAACGTAGGTTGAAACATATAATGCGAACCTGGAAATTGAGACTAAAAAACATGAACAAAACATCATCCTTTTCGGCATCCTGCATGTTTTTTTGGAGGCCGCATGTTCATCCCACGGTTATGGCCCGAACGGGCGCCAGTTATAGATGGGATGAAATCACTCCAGTCAAACCTATCATAGCTATAGGGCTATCCCTCCATGATCTAACAATATGAAAACAAAACATGAAATCACCATTTGAGTAGTATTATCCCTTATGATCCCACTATTCCACCATACTGGCATGGTTCCTGTCGCAGGCTGCAAACTGAACCAGGGGTGCAAAGTCTGTGGGAACCCCAGACGGAACCCGGGCGGAGGTGTGGATTCATAGGAACCATGGGAACCAAACGATGGGAACATGTTCCATGAATAATGGGTATATACAAGCTAGATTCATGGGATATATATGTATATATATATAACAGTTAATGAAATATACCATGCAGGGATTTTTATTGGTGTATACGTGTTATGTTAAGCAGCCAATATATTGATGGGACATATATATATATAGGAACCAGCCTCGCTTGCGCCCATAGAAACGACTCACTTGCACCCAGATTGACCTAAACATACCTTCGCGTAGAAAAAGAACCATTTAGGATCTACTTTTAGGGGACGTTTCCATGTATATATATATATATACAGGTACACCATATAATGCCATAGAATGAGAATATTTCAGATCAACAATCAGCTGGATATATACACGTATGGGTATACCATGAGATACACGCATCTAGATATGATACACGTTTGATGGCCATCCCGCAAGGACAACCCTGACTTGATGGCTACAATGGATAACAACCATGTCTAGGAATGGTTTCTGCAAGAGAAACCACATTTAAAGTTGATTGCTATAGTTGTTGCGGTTGTGATACCATGACAACATATGATAACACAATTGTTCGTTTGAACGTATGTTTCTGCCGCATGTTTTTCTGGTAGTTTCATCGGGATGTTGGACCCCCCAACCACCAATCAGTTGACAAATTGTTGCTGACTCCCAGTCCTGGTTTTCTTTCTTCCCAGCTTTCAGCTCTCACGCCTGAGCTGGCCATGGCAAATGCCACTGCGCTGCCAGATTTTCCCCAAGTGGCAACTGGCAGCTGCTGTGCTTGCCCACTACGATTCCCAGATTCTCCCCACTGCGCTGCTCATTTCGAGTTCTTTTTCCACCGTCTTCACTACCGGACGAAGACCCCGGGAAGAAGATGCTCCATGAGCAGTTCCATGAGACCACACTAAGCCTCAGTACTCCGAGTACTTTGCGGTCCCGAAATGGGATCGCAAAGTCCGCTTTATTCTTGGCTACACCGATGCTGTGTGGAGGATTTCATCTCAACAATGAAAGGACCTGTGGGGACAAGCCATGTTTTGGGCGTGGAGCCATGTGACCCCCTGGATCACAGAGATACCGGAAGAGCAATGAAATCAAGACCGTTGAAGATTTGCAGTTTTTGGCAAAGATACGTTTTGATTTGTTCACATCCCCAGAACACAACCACGAAACCGCATTAGTTTGCAGCAGTTTAACTCCCTGATTCCCATTCTTAAAGTCCATGTTTGCACTGTTTGCACTGTTTTAGCTGGCAGTTTGGGTTCCATGTGGCTGTCCATGTCCTACAAATCTCCGGATTATTGTGACCTCACGTGGTGACATCACTGAAGCCCATAGCTGGCAAGTTTTAGCTATTCCCAGGTTGGTGAATCATTACAGATTATCAGTTAGATAGTATAAAGATAATATATACATGATTACATCTATCATATACTGATGGTATCATATAGTATCATCTATTTGTTACATGATAGTATCTTACCACTAGTGCCGCACAAGGCCGTGGCGGAAGTTTCAAAAATAGGAAACCTATAGGAGAGGTTGGTTGTCCTGAGTCACGGATGGCAGAGCGAAGCCACTGATGGACCGAGAGGTGGTTGAGGTCTCCTCTCTCTCTCTCTGTCTCTCTCTGTCTCTCTCTCTCTCTCTCTCTCGCTTTCATCTGTCTATCTGTCTAGCTGTCTACGTGTCTATCTGTCTATCTGTCTATCTATCTATCTATCTATCTATCTGTCTATCTGTCTATCTCTCTATCTGTCTATCTGTCTATCTGTCTGTCTGTCTATTTATCTATCTACCTATCTATCTATCTATCTATCTCTCTATCTATCTATCTGTCTATCTGTCTACCTGTCTATCTGTGGTGCAGTGTCATTCAGTGTAATGTAGTTGCTTGTAATGTAGTGTAGTGTAATGTAGTGTAGTGTAGTGGAGTGTAGCGTAGTGTAATGTAGTGTTTTGTAATTGAGTGTAATTGAGTGTAATTTAGTGTAGTGGAGTGTAGTGGAGTGTAGTTGTGTAGTTGTAGTTGTAGTGTTTCAAAGTGTAGTGTAGTGTAATGTAGTAAAGTGTAGTGGAAGGTAGTGTCGTGTAGTGCAATGTAGTGTAGTGCAGTGGAAGGTAGCGTCGTGTAGTGTAATGAAGTGTAGTGTAATGGAGTGTATTGTAGTGTAATGTAGTGTAGCGCAGTGTTATTTAGTGTAGTGGAGTGTAATTTAGTGGAGTGTAGTTGTGTAGTTGTAGTTGTAGTGTTGCGGAGTGTAGTGTAGTGTAATGTAGTGAAGTGTCGTGGAAGTTAGTGTAGTGTAATGTAGCGTAGTGGAGTGGAGTGTAGTGTAGTGTAATGTAGTGTAGTGTAGTGAAATGTAGTGTAGTGGAAGGTAGTGTAGTGTAGTGTAATGTAGTGTAGTGTAGTGGAGTGTAGTGTAGTGTAGTGTATTGTAATGTTGTGTAATTGAATGTAATTGAGTGTAGTGTATTGGAGTGTAGTGTGGTGTAGTGGTGGTTTTAGTTGAAAATGCTACAAAACCCTCACGTTTTGCTCACTTTTGACAAGGTGCACAATCCCTTGCGGCTGCCACGCGAAGCGACATCTGAACCTCCAAAAGTGGTCCAAACCCCTGGTGTTTTTAACATTTTGACTTTGAAATGTGCTTTGCGCCACAACTGCGTGCACTTTTTCGACATCAGAACTTCCAAAAGTGGTCCGAATCCCATGTGTTTTTAACATTTTGTCTTCGAAATGTGCTTCGTTGTGGCGTGCACTTTTTCTACATCTCAACTTCCAAAAGTGGTCCGAACAACGGCGTGCAATTTTTCATCTCTCATCTGGCCAACTGGCTCAGCATCCGCCGCTTTAGCGAGCGACTTTCCTACCTTTTCGCGCATCTGCATCTTCTTTCTTCTGACTCTTTCTCTTCTACTCTTTTCTCTTCTAATCTTTTCCCTTCTCTCTGCCTCTGACCTGCTCTGCTTTTCGTCTGTCCATATTGTCGGAAGTTTGACTTCTAAACTTCCTTCGAATATAGTATCATATAGTACGTATACCATGTAGTCAGATACTAGACATGATACTATATGGTATAAGATAAACAACAATACCCATATGGGATATTGAAAAATTGACCAACTGTTGGAATGATACTTGGTTTGGTTCCCAACATTCACTTGAAGATTGTCGAAACCATAGTTCCGCTGCGTCGCACAAAGGTTGATGGCGTCTGGAACGGGTGAAGTCTTCTGCTGCCGGCCTATCGATGATCAGGCGGGATGCGGTAGTGTTTTTCGATGGGCTCCAGGATGGCTTGTAGCAATTCGCTGCGGCATGATAAAGGGTAGAATTCTAAGCCGTCGGGGGTGTAGATCTTGGGTTACCCCGAAAAATCCACAGTTCATAGTAGGATCTCCACTAAGGCTGGATATAGGATCAATTTTTATTTGTTTTTCAATAATGTTTGCCATAAACTCAGGAGCATACCAGCTCAAGAGTAAGTTGTTTGCAGGGTAAGATTCGCAATTTCCACAGTTGGTGTTGCTTTTGCCCAGATGATCACGCACGCACCCAATATTGGATAGTTGACATAATTTATCCAGCATAGATAGCAAGATTTGAACAACCAAAGTCGAGACTCAATGTGTTTTATCTTGCAAAAGAGTTGTTTTCGGAAGGGCCAAAGCTCTTCGTTTGGGAAACATATGCACAGCAGGGGGCCCCTCGTTACAAGTCGGTTTAAACTGACCTCACTATGCCAATCTACCATCATGATTTGGCAAACCTAGTGACCTAGTAGCTCAGAACTCGACAAAGGGAAAACCTACAGGAAACACACCTAAACCCATGTAAAACCATGTTTTCGGTTGTTTTCGTGTAGATTTTCCCGTAAGCCAACCCCGTGGTTTTGTCGTGAAAACAGGCCACCGTGAACCAACTCGCCACGAGGCGTATCGAACCATCACCACCTTGTTGGGAATGCTTTTCACTCGCCCCTTGGACCTTGGAGGATTGGGAGGTCAACTAAGCCCGGAAAGGTGGTGGAAGGTCCAATTTCTCATGATAGATCTGATAGTTTAGTTTCATAGCTGGTTTGGTTGAAATTGGAAGGTTAGTTTCTATTCAACCAAGTTCCAGCACTAAACATTGTACTTTTGCATGTATAAGGGTCCAACTGACCAAAAGCGTGCATTTCGTACACAGCAAAACCGGCGTTTTTTTCCTCATGTTTTCGTGCCCAAATTCTTGAGTGAATCCCTCGGCCATCAGCTCACTCAGAGGGACCATGGACTTACTGGTTAGTATTTGGATTGCATGCCAAACATTCCTTGGTAGATTTTGTGGATTAAAATTAGAATCCACTAAATTACAAACCCGTTTATAAGTGTATGGAAGCATCAAACTTGTTTTTACACGGTTTATTATCAAAACTAGTTATTAGATGGTAAAAGCACGTTCTCGATCCATCTTCTTGATGCCTCTCCCAACTCTTGGTTTCCCAACCTCCAAGTTTGCGGAAAAACCTTCATTTATTCTGGGTTTTGTCAGTTTCATCAGCAACATCCACCATAGCCACCGACGTCGAGGTCTGCCGTTCCGCTGCGGTCTGAATCCCAGGGCCTATCGCAGCGACGCGCAGATCCATCTGCTCACGCCGCGGAAGAATATCGAGGCACAGCCAGTGGCAGTTGCTGAGTGTTTTTTTGGGAGATTGTTTGATGGGTTATACTATGTTATATGGTATAGTGTACACAAATGAGGATATATGGTATATTGGTTAAACTATGTTGAGGGTTTTTGAGGAGAATGATGGTTATTTTGAAGATAGTATAATGATGGCTTATGATGGGAAACATGATGATCATTGAATTGGTTTTAAGGAAAATGTTACAGGAACCCCCTATATTTGATGGGGAAAACCATGCTTTCCTGCAGATTCCCCCTTATTCATCATTCCAATGATTTGGAAGATTGTTTCATGGGTTATACAATGTTATAGTGTATGATGGGGATATATGGGGATATTGGTTAAACTATCATTCGTTATTGGGAAATTTATATCCATAGTGGATTAACTATGGGGATATTGGTTAAACTATCACTAATGGGTTAACTATCCTGATATATTGGTTAAATCATATACCCATGATACAATATATTTGGGATTTATGACTATCAGGATACGGCCATGATTCCATGATTGGTTATACTGTCTAGTGGGGATATATCTGCGTATGATCGGGATTGCTGGCTGAATGATAGTTAACAATAGGTTTGATGGGTTATACTGATGTATAATGGGGATATTTTGTTTGGGGGGTAAAATGATGGAAAGCTGATGGTTAACAATAGTTAACATAGGTTTGCTGTAGATGACATTGTTACTTTCTGAATGGGAAATGAAAAGCCAGAAGCCATCTGTGGAACCCATAGGGATTTGGGTGCTGAATAGTACAAATAGGAATTATACTAGGTATAACCAACAAAATTGGGATGAATAATTAAGATATTAACATTCTGAATACATGATGAGTATACACTTTCAACCCACAAATGACTGGAGCATGGACTATATATATATAGTTGTCATATAAGTAAGTTATATTATTGTTATGGCCTCGTACGCACTGGGATGCACTTCCAAGTTGAAACGCATGGTGTGTACCAGGGTTTGGATGTGTCTGAAACTAGGCTAGACCCCATTTATGGTGGAGTAGGTGCCCTGGTTCGCTAGCCAGCTTGGTTGATCACTGGATGAACTGGCTATATATATATATATATACATTTAGAGGGTTTATTGTAAAGCAACTTAAAACTGGGGGGCACCACCACATACCGGGATTTAACTCAAATTCGCAAGATTTGGCCGATGTTAGTATGAAATAGCGGGGATTTAAGCAATGAATTGTGGATATAATGATGGATTGCACAAACAAAATGGAGGTATAACACCGACCATAATGGGATATAACGGGATAAAATGGGAGACACCTATCCAACAATATGATAATTGGATGTGTTTGAAAATGCAGTCCCACCAAATTTTACGGCAATCTTGCTGCAAGGAAAATGATGCTTTGAAGCATGTGATTTTGGACATCCTAGTTAATGGATGATAATTCAAAATGGCAATCATCGTCATTGGAGTTTTGGTCATTTAGGACGTCAAGTTTAGGCTATGCTATCAGGCTGTTGACTTCCAGTGGAGACGGATGGATTGCTGGTGACCTCCTTCGCAATGTTGGATCTCTACCATGATCCGTTGGTTTGGGAATTTATGTTACCCTCTGGTTATGTCAAAAGAGCTATTGAAAATGGCCATTTATAGTGGACGTTCCCATTCAAAATGGTGATTTTCCATAGTTATGTTAATTTACCGGAGGGTATATGTTTGGTCACGCTTGACAGATTGTTTTCCCATGGGGTGCCAATATTCTCCGGATAAATGATGTTTGAAGACTGAATCAACCTCGGGAAAATCTGTGATGCTTCCCAAATACCGTAAGTCAACTGAAAATAAACATGTTGATACTAAAGCTGAATTGAGGTATGCAAGAACCACATATCTAGCACAGAGGTATGCCTGCTATAGGCTATAGGTGTAGATTTATCCAATCTTTAGTACCTAGCCCCTCACGATTCAGGACCTGAAGCATGCATCACCGTTTCAGGACACATACCAGCGTTACATCATATTACAAAACACATTTTCAGATGGCTAAGATTCCTAGAATATGCTTCCCCGAGTTATGTTATGTTAGTTGGTTTGTAAATCCAAGTCCAGGAAATAAATCCACGAAAAGCAATTTGGTAAACCGCTTGTGAAATAAGCTCTATATTCCCAGGTGGTCCTTTGTTGTATGAAAAATATTTTCCCATGACTTCGGGCATGGCCCACGTTTGTACAGGATGCAGTGCTGCTGAAGAGCTTCGCCTTTCTGAGCCAACCGTTGCAGAACAGCATTGCTGAGAAGATGAGGCACCTGGGCAAAGGATGGCGAAACGTAGGGGATTGTCATGTTTGATGACTCAAGGTTTAAGCTGTTTTAAGGGATAGAGAATCATGGGATAAATGGGATAACCATGGATAACCAATCTGATCATGAAAACTGGAGCAACCAGTGCTGGTTTTAAGGGATCATAGGGACATCGGGGGATGTTCTACCATTTTTTGGGGTCCCAACCAGCCATAGATCTGGTGATTTTCCCCTCTAAAAACATCGCCCGCCACGTTTGAGGACACGTTATGGTGATAAATTCAGCATACTTAGATGGGGTACCCTCTGGTAATTTAACCGTTCGCTATAGAAAATCACCATGTTTAAGAACGGTAAACCATCAATTTCGATTAGGGCCATTTTCCAGTTCGCAAACTGTTAGCAAATTATCAGAGGGTATATTCCATTAAGTGGATTATAATCCCATTAAACCCCCATTAAATCCCCATTAAATCCCATTAAACATGGCCATCAATTACCAGAGGGTAGCATATTAGTGAAGACACATTTCACCTTTTTGTGCACCACCTTGTAGGTCCCAACTCTTCTACACCCGGACGTCCGGTTGGGTTGCTTTATGCTGGTATATAGTTGGTTTATAGTTGACCACCATAAAAGCATGGAGGATACTTTATAATTAGTTGGTTTCTTATAGTTTATAGCTATGTTACTTTGCTATGGTGGTTACTTTATAATGGGGATACCCTCTGGCAAACTAACATAGCTATAGAAAATAACACTGTCAACAGGTAAATCATCTATGATTTAGCCATGGCTATGTTACTTTACTGGAGGGTAGAACGGTGGACATTCACAGGGCTGGCAACGGGGTTGGATGAATACACAGAGTTGGGTTTGCACTCCTAGCTGTGGGATGGATGCTTTGAGGTTTTTGGTGATATTCATGATCTGGTAAAATAACAAAGCTATAGACAATCACCATTTGTTATGGGCAAATCAACTGTAAATGGCCATTTTCCACAGCTACGTTAAATTACCAGAGGGTATGATATTCAGATGATGTTTTAGGTATCGCGGTTGTGATAATATATTGTGATTATGCGTGATTATGTGTGTACCATCAGAATGCTACAGTCATAGTGATTTAGATAGCCATACTGGCCATACTAATGGTGTGATATGTTGTGATATCTCTTTCACGATAGCTTAGAACAGCCAATTTGGAGTTCCCAATCCTCAAGGTATAGGAGATTTGCGACCAGTCGTTGCTTAGTCGTATCCCACGACTGGTGCTGCTACCAGTGTATCCAGTGTTTTGGTGCGCAGCCGCATCTTTATCATCGAATTTGAAGCTAATCAGAAGTATTTTTTGTCAGTGATGTGTGTTTGTCCTTGTTCTCTAAACACACCTTTTTGAGCCTTTTAGTGGGATTCTCTATGTCTTGTGCGCCAATGGGGCCAACGTTGCTATGTTTGCTGTTTCTAACGCCATCTAAGTATATCTAAGTAGGAAATACCCACCATTTTCACCGTAGTTGTTGTAGTGAAAATTCATACGAAACAGGGGCCCCAGCATATCTCAGGATGCATCAATGGGACTGATGGTTTGGATCTCACTTTTTTGGCACACAATGATGGGCGTCAATTACCACAAACCCATAGAGTCGTACTATTTGTTTACTGTACTTGGTGGCTCATCCCACTTAGTAAATGGGCTATAACCCCAATTATAAGTGGATTAACCCGCTCCTTATCCCATTTATAACTGGGGTTATAACCCACTTACTAAGTGAAATGAGCCACCAAGTAGGCATATCTTTAGTTGGATCGGAACAAAGATGGGATGACTGTGTGCCCTTCTTGAGCAATACGAACATTTTGGTGCGCTTGAATGATCTTTGCGGCATTTTGGATATATACCTCTTGGTTTTTACAGAGCGATGCCCCCACATGTTCTGCCCCAAAATGTTAAGTTTGTTGGTCTATAACATTTTAATACATGTTATACCCTATCTCTCACTTTCTATCCATGGTTATATTTGGTTATATTCACCACAACCCCCAGTTATATTTCATTCAGATTGTGGTGATCATAACTACATGAAATTTGAATAGGAAATCACTGCAACTCAAGTTAATTGATAATGATCTGTGATGATCGGAAATAGACCAATCAATTGATCACCAAGTCGATATAGACTCATATAGACTATTTAATTAATTGGATATAATTAGTCGATTATTAATAAACATTGGATATACTAATCATCTAATTTTCATTGATTGGATAATAGATCTGTTGGTTCCAAAAACAAGAAGCAGACCAAGTCGATCTTGGAGTCGCTGCTTGGATCGCAGACCTTTTCCACCTACAAATCTCGGCTCGTGGCTCGTGGCGAGCCACGAGCCGGTCTCCAAATCTCCATAGTTTCTTTGTCGGGTTGGTTTTTAGTGTTTGAAGAATTGGGATTGATGATTGGCTTTGCACCTAAAAAGAGATGGTTTGCTAAATGCTAGCTACACCCTTTCAAGGGCCAAATTTGTGGCTTGACATATCATACCTGTTCTAGAATGATACTTGGATGCTATCTAAACTTGGGATCAATGCCTGGTAAGCTTTTTTTCCCAACCCGGGCACAAGTAGACAAGTGGCAAAAGATAATTGACACCCATCAAACTCATCATTCTTTGTCAAGTCCTTGTTTGTTGATGTTTAAATCGCACTTTAGCCAACAATCAACCCCTATTCATGGGTTCCTAACCCCTTTCCAGCCGCAAACAGTACACACCTCACCCCTACCATTGGTATATTTTATGATATGTCATAATGTGTCATGACGTATCATGATATTTTCATGATACTGTATTTCATGATATATCATGATACCCTACAGCTCCAAACACCTGAGACTGTATTTGAAGTGTTTGAAGTGTTTTTTTTGGGGTGTAAACGTGTAAACATCCCCGAATTGACGGGTATTTGGAGCACTAATTATGATATTTTCATGAGATTTCATGGCTTCAAAAGCCACTCCAGTCACTCCAGTCACTCCACCTGCAACCCTCAGCCATGGGACACCATCCCCGTGCCGTGATGGCACGGCGGCGTCGCCTTTTCGGTGCCATTAGTGCAGCGCTGGCGTTGCTGTTGGAGGTAACAAAGCCTGGTGATGGAAATGGTGATGGAAAAATCTGGTTGCCCATTACCCTCTGGTAAACTAACATAACTATGGAAAAGTACCATTTATAGTGGAAAATTACCATTTATAGTGGAAAAATCTAACATAACTATGGAAAATTACCATAGAAATAGTGGATTTTCCCATTAATAGCATGGTGATTTTCCAGTTAGCTATGCTACAAATTACCAGAGGGTAAGTGGGAATCTGGTCGGAAATACATGGGATTGTAGATGGGAAATGATGGGAATATAGTTGATGTTTCCAACATTTATCTGGTATTTAAACCAAGAATATTATTGAATATAGTGGATATATGATATAGTGGGAATATAGTGGGAATTTACATGGGAATAGAAGATGATGATTGTGGTGATTTATACAGAGATAAATGAACCAGTGGAACCACCCAAAACTTGGATTTTAATGAGATTGAATGTCATTTAAACGGTGATTTGATGGTGATTCAATCTCCGGGAATCACACATAGGTTTCTAGCTGGAAACATAATTGATAAACTTACTGGTGCTAAACCTAGGGAATGGATGGGTTGCTGGGGGTTGCAGGGATTATTATTATTAGTGATGACTGGGATCATTCCCGAAAATTCCCTGCGTCAAACGCACCAGTAAATGGTGGACTGTCCATTGCCATGCTTGATTTCCATCTTGGGTCATGGTGCAATGTGGGGATTCCCAGGGTGATTTCTCTGGTGGCTGAGGTGACAGCAGTGACAGCTAAGCCAAAAATGTGCCCATTGATGGCTTGAAACCACGACTGTTGATTGAAATGGGTCAATTGAAGCTAAAAGATCTACAAGGTGCACAGTTGACTAAGTTGGTTTCTTTCACATCAACTGTTGGGTTGCTGGTGAGTACACCCACAGTAACAAGCCACGTTTTACACTTTTGTGTAATTTTGGGGGGCACCTGCTAGAACCTGCTGGTACTGCTGGTTTCAACGGTTGAAAAACGGTCAACTCGCATCCTATCTGATGTTCCAGGCATAGATCTTAGTAGATTTCACTGGGGATAGTTATATTGCACAGCAAAATAGATGGTTTGTTCTTGCTGCCAGATTGGCCATGAGATTCTTAAGATGTTGACGTGCTGATGTTTTGCAATATAACCTTCTTAAATGGTTGTGGGACATGATGCACCTTGATGGTGCATCGATGTTTGAATAGGTGTTCTTGGGGTGTTTGAAAATGGGCGATGCCCCTTTTTCTGGCCATCAAATAACACGGAAAAACCAGGTTCAAAACCGTTTTGCCATAGTTTTGTAAGACAAGCCCAGGCGGGATATAGTATGATATAGTCATTACATTGGGGTTCCTAAAATGGGGGTACCCCATGTCACCACGGGTTTCAATACTAAAATGGTCATCCATGACGACTGGATGATTCGGGGTACCCCTATTGGAGGAAACCCCCATATATCCATACAGGTCCATACATATCCGTACCATTTTTCCCCATGAAGGTTCCATTTAAACTTCATGTTTACTGTAATGGTTGAATCAGACAAACCCAGATGTTGTGCCTCAAAAGCTGAAACCAGGTGCAACGATACCAGCCTGGGAGCTCAGGACTGGGACATAAACCAATCACCCAAGGGTACATTTTGAAAATGAACTATCATAAGTACATCCATGGACCCAGGCTTCAATAGCTATGATAAGTTTACTGCAGGCTACACGAGACCATGGTGGATTTTGCCGAGGGAATCTACAGAGCCCTGTTGCCCAATCCTCCTTTTAGAACGGGATTGTGCAGAGATGATCACTTTGAACCCTGCAATGGGGGAAGCAATGATGCGCCCAGCCAGACATTTTTGTTGATCTTGAATGTCCATG